AAACATCTGGAGGGCCGAGGTTGAGGAAGCCTGTTCTCAGAGTTGAAATAGCAAATGCTGATTATCCCTTCCTTCCAGCTTTCTGTGCTGCATGCATTTTTTCATGCTGCAATTCCATCAAAATCTATGAGACAAATTAGTCATGATCTGAGTTGAGTTCAATAGGACCAAAGCATGACTAACTTAATCTGGAGAATCCAGCACGATGCATCTTGCTTGGAAGTGGGCCAACCCAGATCTGTGACTCATTCAGGGATCAGAAGGCAGTGGGAAAATCTGATGTGTGGCTGAATCAGGAATGACTAAAACATTCCCACTACACCTGATTTAGAGATGTGGCAAGAATCAGGCCCTACAGTGTAGGCTGATTAGGAAGAGGTAAGGATAAGCTGATGAATTAAATCAGAGATGCATCAGGCATCCTTCTTCAAAGCACAATTGTTTCTTTCTTTTTCATAGCACACGTCATAGTTCTCTTACAGCCTAGCCCAGCCCACAGTATGGAAATTATTGCCCTAAGCCCAAATCTTGGAAGCTGTGGGAATCCTAGCTGCACAAAGAATCACACAAGAAAATATTGAGCGAAAGCTACTGGCAATTAACACATGCATTGGCCACAAGCCATTGTAAACTCTTTAATTAGTGGTTGTGCCCAGAGGTCTGATGCCAAGAACAAACTTAAAAGATTATGCAATCTGATAAATGTCTGCTAAGCACACTGATTTATAGCAAATGTAAATACATACTAAAGTAGCTATTTTGATTGTACCATTTCTCTAGAGCGTAACAGTTTATGGAAACAAGGAAAACTTGTATTATTGCTAAGATAATGCTAGGCATGGCTGTAATTTCCACCTGCTTGTCTATTGTGACTTATGCTACAATGAAGTAATTTCATGCTACATTAGCAGGGTAAGAAAGTGTTTATGGCAAACAAAATCAAATTGTTGTGATTAACATGGCGGAATGCCCAGCACTTGAGTGATAATTTTAATTAGGGAATGCTGACCTTGTTCAAAGAATCTTTCAGCGCCACAAAAAAACCAGTTTAAACATCTGTTGCAGCTTAATTCATTGACAACACTTACCGTATGTGAACAGAACATTTGATTGCGCTAAAAACAAACAAACTTTTGAGTTGAGAGCAGGAAACTAAATGATTCAGATGTTATTCAATGCATGGGAGTATAGCCTGCTAGATAATGAAGTAAAATCCTCAGAATGATACTGAACTTCAGATTTTGATAGCGGCATGAAAAATGCAAGAGATTCCAGAACAGATAAAATCAAGAAAACTTGCACCATTTATCTTTATAAAGATGCCCCAGGCATCTTCTTCCCATTAATATCAGCTCATGTCAAGGTGGTGTCTGCTCTTCAAAATAAACACCCTCTGCTCACTCAGAGAGATATTTAGTTCTTTATTTACGTATGTACAAACAGCTACAGTTCCAAATCATGCGCCTGAAGAGTCAGATTCGGGGAGTGGCTCCTTCTCCAACACAGCAGACGAGATTTGATCCCTGCGCTTTAACTCTCTTCTCGCCTGTGCAGAAGGCAACGCTTCCCCTTCTCTTCCGAGCACAATTCAAAGTGTTGGTGCTGACCTTTAAAGCCCTAAATGGCCTCGGTCCAGTATACCTGAAGGAGCGTCTCCACTTCCATCGTTCTGCCCGGACACTGAGGTCCAGCGCTGAGGGCCTTCTGGCGGTTCCCTCGCTGTGAGAAGCCAAGTTACAGGGAACCAGGCAGAGGGCCATCTTGGTAGTGGCTCCCGCCTTGTGGAACGCCCTCCCACCAGATGTCAAAGAGAAAAATAACTACCAAACTTTTAGAAGACATCTAAAGGCAGCCCTGTTTAGGGAAGCTTTTAATGTTAATAGGTTATTGTATTTTAGTGTTTCGTTGGAAGCCGCCCAGAGTGGCGAGGGGGACCCAGCCAGATGGGCGTGGTATAAATAATAAATAATAATAATAAATATTATTCCTGAACTCCCTGGTTGGTGGGAGGGCTCTTCAGCATCGCAGAGCCCTGATACCACTTGACTACTCTCCGCCTTCTTCCGTCATTTCCCCGTTTTCCCCTTCTGACTGTTCCTGCTCTGAAACTCCCTCTTCCCTTGACCCAAGGGCGTTCCCTGTCTGTCCTGTGACAGCTCACTAGTTTCTGAGTGAGGCATCAGAAAGAAACCCCCATGTCTCTGTGTGGGTTGCTGTGCATGAAAGCTATTACAGCAGAGTGGTCCTCAGATTTGTTGAACTGCACTTCCCACCATCCTTTGCCCTTAACCATGCTGGTGGGAGCTGGTGGTAGTTGGGAGTCCAACATCTATGAGGCCACTTTCCCCCTCCCTGCATCAAACACATCTAGTGACTCCTTCCAGATTGTAAAGTGATTCCAGAATTACTGCTCTGCCTTGTGCTCTAGGGTGCAACTTGCGTCATTCTGCATTGGGAAGGGGAAGATCATGAAGGCTGCGCTGACCAAATTTGCTGACCCGCTAGCAGCTTCAGGACAGAATGAGTTGCAGTCAACACTGTCCACTTCTACTCGAAGAGTCTATGCTGCAGATACCAGATGCTGAAACCTATAAATCCCTTGGTTCCCATTTTAGTGAAGTGGTTGGCACATACACTATGAAATAAATGAGTAAATAACAAGCCTACCCAAATGTTTAGAGAGTTGATGTGAGTTTTAATGTTTTTAGTATATTGCTATTTTTACTTTTCAAAAATTCTAATTTTTTTAGTGATAAGTTTTATTATTTTTTTGTAAACCACTTTGAGTGAGATTTTTTTTACAATGAAGTGGTATACTAAATTTTATGAAATAAAAGTACACTACAAAGAAGTTTTAGGATTTTTCCAGACTGGAGCACCCATAACCACCTCTTCAATTAAGTGAAATTCTGCTTTATTGCCCATCCAATAAAACTAGGTCCATATTATGAATCATGGGACATCAGGCCAGTTATCTTTTCCAAAACAAATGGAAAAAGGGGTGTCTTCTGCTTGAATGGTTGCAATTTCATATATTCTCAGGGTCTCCCATCATTTTGTGTCACAGCCCCAGTACATGCATGCACAGCCATGCTTCTTCATAAATATCCTGGGCAGTTTGTATGCACTTTGACAGAGACTCAGCACCTAGAAATAAGTCTTATGGCAGAACTGGTCCAACCTCTTGAGACTGCCAGACTCCAACTCCTATCAGCCACAGTAAACCTGACCAATGGCCGAGAGACGATAGTGGTGCAACAAGATCCAACAGTAGTTTATCTAACTACTGTTGGATCTTGTTGGAGAGTACTCCAACAACATCTGAAGAGCCACATTCTCAGGACCTGTTCCCATGTTCTCTTCAGTTTTGCAGATGCCCTTGCTCTTTTTGTGACTGGAGTTGCTTCAGTGGACACGATTCTCAACCCACCATAGGGGTGACAAGGCAATGTCTTAGTATGTTTAAAACACTCCAACTCAAATCCCTGTTATTCCCCAGTAACAAATCTATTTTCCTTCAGCGTAGGTTTTTTGAGATTATAAGATTCCCACTTTTATGTTGTTTGATTTTCTATTTACAGTGTTTTCAATTTTGAATTGAGTTGTGCCGTACTGTAGTATGTGAAACTGCATTGGGGGCCTTTAGGTCAAAAGGCAAGATATAATAAACTGAATTACATATAGTATAAAACACACCACACATTTGTCTGTCAACATGTAATGCCCTGGGTTTATTTTGTGAGAGTTCTGTCACAATTTTCCAGGTGGGATTAAAAACCTTAAGGATAATGTACGCCATTGGAGTGGGCATTCAGGCTTCGGTACTGACAAAGCACTAGTAGTAGAGTCTTAAGTACCATTCTCTTCACAGAAGAGAGGGCAAATATTTCCAAAGGAAGGCACCCGACAGTTGTGGTTCTGGCCTTGCAGCCTTCTGGAGAATCTTAAAAGGAAAAAAAGCTGGCTGTTTTCAGAAACTGGAATGATGATACACGTACAGCAATTACTGCATTCTTCTCCCTTATAGCCTTTTTCTTAACAAGTAAAGAATGAAGTCTTTAACAATTATACAATAAAAAAATATAATTTGTGATCAAAAAAAGGGCAAGACAACATAAAAACTCCAGTTGTAAGGACTCCATTTGCATACTTGATTTGACACCTTTTTTTTTTTTGGTGTGCAAGGAAATGGGACAACAGAGGGGGCTGTATGAAGAGCAGCAACATAACTTTAGTGCTTTAAGTACCAGAAACTGCACACGTGTTTGTGAGCTAGTCAGTTGGTAGAATCCATGAGACTTCATTTTTAGCTTGTTACTTGCCTTATGATATTAAAACAGGAAGATCCCATTGAATAGTACATTCCCCATTTTAAACTGATGCCTTTAAAAAATTCTGTATGTATGTCACCATTTTTCACATGATACACAGAAAACTCAAGGACCCAGAGGGGGAACCAAGTTATGTTAATACCATTTACAAAATACCAAGGAGTCCACAGCTACCTAACACATTTACTACAGCACAGGAACCAATGAAGGTACAGTGTACAAAAAACTGTAAACACGGCACAATAAATAGATAAAACAGCAGGTTCCGCACCATGCACATGATGTGATGACACTTCATCTCTATACAATCTCACTTCTCACACTCTTACTTTGTTGCAATTCTCCCTCCCTCCCCTCCCTCCCCCAGCCCCAAGTGCAAAGCATCACAAATGAACAGTTCTGTATTCAAGTAACATATATACAAGGGTATTACAAATATGCAGTACTGTACAGATAATTGCTGTAGTCTTAATTTACAGTTGCTGATTCTTTCCTATTAACAGTAAGAAAAGAAAAACCAAAGCATGAGAGATGTGCATTGCTGTCAAGTCCCCACAGCTGCCATGGAAACGCAATAGGCTGCATTCCATCATCCCTTGCATTCAAATTGCTACTGATGCATAGCACCTAAACAAGTTCCCAAAGGCTGAAGTTCCATTACTATGGAAACTACGTCACCTCCATTGCTACTGTATTGTCTGCTATATTGTTCAGTGCTGGCTTTTCTGTTTCATGGTTTTCCCTGTGAAATAAAAAGGGGAAAGGGGGGGAAAACACCCATAAATATCCAGGAAGGGCAGCAGAACCAAAGCAATCTGTCAATTCCACACACACCCCTTAACAACATTGTAAAAGTGACCCCCCCCAACACACACTGCATCTTTAATATGGCATTTGTGTGTTAACACATATTGTTTTAGTTTCCTTTGGTTATTGTACATTTTTATCTTAAGGATTCCATTTTCAAAGGAAGTATACTATCCCAGAATACTTTATCATATCAACATAAAAGAGGGGGTAATATTTCAGGAATGGGGGGCGGAGTTTATATAAAAATGGATTCTTGCATTGTAAATCTCACACAAAGAGAAATACATGTAGGAGTACTGAACCAACTGGGCTATGGGCCTGTGTTACTCTGAATTGCAACCAGCAAGCCCGAGAATTTAAAAAACACACTTTCGGATATGGAAAGAACCCCCAAGCTCTTGAGAGAATCAAGCAAAGCCCTTGGATGCCAATAATTTAAGAGATAAATCCCATCCAGATCAATGAGGCTTACTTTCACACATTTAGAATTTGGGAGGGGCAGGAGGACGGGGAATTTATTAATGACAACATGAAACAAAGCTTTACTGTTCAAATACATTTTCTTCCCTCTGTAATCAGACTCTAGACACAGTACAATCCAAAGCATGCAAGTTTTCGTATTACAGAGTCTGGTCCTTTTTAGGTACAAAAAAACGATCAGCCCCCACTTGCAACATTTCAAGAACCTCTACAAGATTTTACTATTTAGACTAGAGATGCATAAAGCAGAAGTTAGGGGCAGGTTTCAAATGTATGTCACAGAGATAATCTTGTGAGACAGACTCACAAATGCCACAGTGACAAGAATACCAGATGTGAATTATCTCCCTGCCAACCTGAATTCCAACACAAAGGCTTACCTTGGTACTGTGTCCACGGAGGATGAAGCTGGCACCTTGGGCACCTGACAGTTTGCTGCAGCCAGCTTTAAGGCAGATGATGGAACAGCACTTAGAGTCCTAGGTATGTGTCGTGCATTGAGCGTAGTAATAGAGTTTGCAGTGGCAACTGATGAGGGTACAGTTAATCTAATATTGTTCCCAAACAGAACCTGAGTTGTTGCAGAATTGGCAGCAGTTACTTGGTGACTCAGTGCACTGTGGGAACTTGAAGTCTGTGTTATATTTGAAGGCTGTAACAAGGTTGAACCTGCTGTTGATGACGAGCTTGTATGTACAAGTGCTGTAGGCGTAGTACTACTGAGGTGTAAGCCCTTATATACTCCTGTGGAAGAAGAGAAACACAAGAGGTATAATTCCAAAATGCCAGTATCACATCCATTACTGGTTTAAGATGCACATCCAAAGCAAAATCTGGTCACAACAATCTTTGCTGCTTCTTACCTGAGGCTTGAATGATGCCATTCACCCCAATTCCAAGCACCACTTCATCCTTCATTTTGAATCCCATGAGCTGTTCTGATGTAACCAACGCTGAAGCAGCAAATTGAGCACTAACAGAATCCAGTGTCTTGGAAATAAAACCCTTTGAAAAACAAACAAAAAACAGACTTGGTTTAAAGAAGGAAAGGGACAAAAGGAAATCAAGAAGCCACACAGCAAGTTTTAAAGCATATACTACTACAGTAATCTACTAAACGTCTGGATCACCTTTCCTTCAACAGTTCCCTGGTTAGTTTATATCATATCACATACTTAAAATAGTCATGTTAAAAGTCACAGGAGGACACCTGTCTCCTAAAGGCAGAGAGGAATAAACAAAACAAATAACAACAACAAAACCACTACACTACCACAATGATCATACTCTCATTTGTTCTCTAAAAGTGTACATGAACAGATGCATCTTCACTTCCTTAATTTTTATTGTTTAAATAGACCTTGCCTTTCAAAGCTCCAACTCCATGGTGTTGGGAACCATACTAAAGGCCCTGACATATTACTTGAAAGTTGCTAGAACTGAGCAAGCATTACAAATACATTTTAAAGTCAAGTACTGGTAGTTTTATAATCAATTAAGGAAGACCATTTTGCAATTAGTCGTGCCCACAGTTTATCTGGAAATACAGAACTGTTTAGACTTCTATAAGCCAAGTGCAACATATCTCACCAAAATCTCTTTGCCAGGGATAAAGAACTTGTAGTCCCTACAGATGTTGTTTGATTACAAACCCCCCCGTCCCACCAGACCCAGTCAACATGGCCAGATGATGGAGTTGTATCTGGGCAACATCTGGAATGCCACAGATTCCCCATCACTGATCTATTCCTTATATTTATTAGTAGTCTTAATACATTAAGATTCTAGAGACGACGAAGTGCCTGCACTTGCATTAAGCAAGGTTTAAGTTTCAAATTCAGCTTGCTGGATGGGAATGCACACACACACACACAATTCATGCAGTCTAAATTAGTGATGTTATCTGGATTTTTTAGTTCATGTATACCACGTCATTACTGACAGAATCACCTCTTTTCTGTTAGGAGGGAGCAGAGGCAGTGCCTACTATACTCACCTGTAGTGTCCCTTCTAAACATTCTAGAGTATGGCTAAGATGTAGATTCGAGCGAAAGCCACTTTCCTGCTGGTTAGTTGCAAGGTGCTATGGCAACAGTTGGCAATTAGAGATGAACCCTGGTGGGAAAAATGAGGGATAAATCATAATACAGACAACTCCCTCACCTGTGAAGCGTTCGCAGAAGAATTACTATTTGCTTGCTGTTGATGAATTTGTGCAAGCTGCTGTTTCTGCATTAGTGCCAGTTGCTGTTGATGATGCTGGTATTGTTCGGCTGTAAATGCTGAACAAAATATAAAATAAGAGAATACCATATCAAAATACATAAACCTCGTGTGTACAGCCCTTATACTAAAATGGAAATGCAACATGTGCAGCTCCGAATCTCAGTACATATATTCAGTGTTCCTACTTCAGCAGGAGCTGCAATTAGCAGCTCTTACAAAAGGAAGTGTGCTTCTAACCCTATGAAGCAATAAAAATGTGGCTTGCCATTCAATAACAGCAGATTGCCATATTACAACCATCATACTAAGATAGAAAAGTTATCAAATATCCATTTGAATCCCCCGGTCCTATTTTAGATAATGCCTGCATTCCATCCCATCAAATGAACATTTAATTTTAAAATGAATAAATTATTTTTTTAAAAAAAAGCTTTATGAGGTTTTCATTCTGTTTCCCTCAATTGACCCACCTGATGTAGATAGAATGTGGGTCAAGATCTGGTTATGTTGATTTACAAAGAAAAACTATGTTATGTCACTTATTCATCTATGAAGAGTTCTAAAAGCAGAGACTGAATAGCATTTTGCTGCAGTTTTCATTTCACTTCATCTTAATGAAAAACTCTCCACAGCCAACTTTTAAAGCCGTTTAGGATAGAGAATAAGGTAATAAATCTAATCTAGACAACACATTGGCAGGATTCTTGATTCCATTTTTTGGTAGAAAACTCAAATCTGAGTATTTTGGATGCTTTAGATTTTTGTTTTGAACATCTTAGAATATCAAAATAAACATTCTGCAACAGGAACTGGTTCTACAGAACATGATCTAGTTTATCAACCCAGACTCCAAACTACAAAGAAATGCTCTGCCATTGTCAAGTTTCCAGAAACAAATTAGTTGCGCACAACTTCGCTCAATGCTAGTTAATACACATATTAAATTAAGAGTATTAATCTGTAAAACTCTTAAAGAGTATTACTACATTCACACTCTTTTTGACCAGCAAATATAATTCACAGCTATAAACACTGCAAGTCTAAACCTTTTTACAAATCTGTTGCCAATATGCAACAATCACCAAGTTCAAGTGTGTTGCTCTTACTACAAATCTGAGGATTGCCTAGGCTTTTGAGGTTTTTTTCCTCCTAGCCAAATAGTGACATTTAGACCAGGTTTTTATTTTATTATTATTATTAATTAAATCTGCATACCATCCTTCATCCAAAAATCACAATATAAAGGTTGAAGCACGAGGACAGACACTTAAAACATGAAATACTACAAAGACAAGACTTGCCTAGACACTGATCTGTGGGGTTCAACTTCCACCAGTTTTCACAAACTGAATTTGAATCTCACTTGCAACTACACTTTTAAACAAAGGGCATTCTTTGCTATCAAGTTAAGGAGTTTTTAGGTATTGTATCAACACATTGCTATGCATATATATAGCCTGCATAATTGTATGGCAAGAAGGATATACACAAGCTACCGCTACAGCTCCACAAATAACCTTAAAGGGTACACCAGCAAGTTGGTCCACCCAATTAGTCAACAGTTTTGTTTGATGTTCAGCTTGCATTCCTGCATTCTTAAATTCTACCCAATGCAGAGATTAAAGAGGAAAGCAGAAATATTTGGTGGCAATTGCAACATTAATGTAGTAACAACAATGCATCAGTTGGAAGCTCCGTCAGTTTTTTTAAATGAATTTCTCCAGTAATATATAGGTACACAATGAGTCAGCAAGCAGTGGTGGTGATGATGACGGCAGACGTTCTTCACATAAAGCCTGGTTCACAATAATATCTCTTCTTCTCTACCTAGTTGTGCTAGCTTGAGCTTCACATGACACACTGAAGGAATACAATAGCACAAACTGGCATTTATATGGGTTAGGTTCCAATTAGCTTGTTTAGAGTAGTCCAATCAATTCCTCCCCCATGTGGAATGTGAAGCTGCTGATTGAGAAACCTAAAGCCTAAAACCACCTGCAGCATGAAGAACTTTGGTACAATTCTTTGGATCCCTATCCACTAGATATGTGGTTAGAACTTTGACCGCAACTGTGCATCATTTTAACACTTCAAACAAGAACTCTTCAACTGCCTGATCCTATGGAAATAGGTACATTTAGGCTTGTTAAAATTATACTGAGCTCTGCAGGAGGCAATCTGCAGATATTCTTGGCACTCCCTAGAAACTCTCTTTTATTTGCTCTATTTTAATTAGGCTGCAAGTTACCTCAAGAACTTTTGTTAGTAAGGTTAATAAATGCATTCAGCTTGTTACAGCAAACACAAGAGAAAGTTATGTGGCATCTTAAAAACAAAGGGCTATAACCAATGTAGTTGTCCTGTTAGCGCAAGAACTTCTGCCCCTTAGATACCCCGTGTTCCAAATTTGTTCCAGAGTAGATGGTGTGTGCGCGTGCGCGTGTGTAAGTGTGGGGAGAGAAAGTCCAATTGCACAGCCAGACATCCTTGCACTAATTGCTGAACTCAGTGGAAACAGTCCCAGAACATTATTTTCCGTAAGGGTAGCCAAGGGCCACTCCACACATGCTGTAAAAATTCTACTTAAAAGTCACATCTTTGCAGAGAGGCTGAACAACTCCCCTAGAGTGTTAGCCACAAGTGACACACATTCAACAGATTTAAGAATCATAACATTTTCAAAAGTAAAAGTGAATCCTGTACAGAAAACTAAGTCTTAGTTCAGCTAAAACTGCCAGATATATTTAAATTTGCTTGTGAGGATGAATTTTCATTCACTCTTGCAAGCACACTACCAAGTCAAATAGGGCAACTGAATCACCCTCCATGTTTGTATTTGTAACCTTGCAACTTACTGAGATTTAAGTGAAATTTTCTCCCATGAATGAATAATCTTTTCGCTTCTTTTTTTGCCAAGGGGTAAGATTTTTGACATAATGGACAACTACCAATCTACAGCTTCAAAAATTTCAGAATGTATTCAAGGATTTCAAGAGTTACAGAAGGCCAAGGAGGCCTTTCAGAAGTCTCTGTGCTGTGCCCTATATATGGATTATATGGAAGCCATGTAGAGGAACCTACACTTTTGAAGAACTCAAGTGTGGGTTTCTGAGATCTGCACATTCACAAATTAGTGAGGAAAGATTAACACCCAATTTCTTCTAAGTAAATTCTTAATGATAATAACTTACTCTTGTAAAGAGTTGAAAGCTCTGCAAGGCTTGCTTTACATAAGCTGCTGGGGAAATTTCAAGTACAGGACAAAATTCTCTTGTTTTAACATCATGGGCTGGACTATGAAACTCCTAATAAATGACCACTGACTCCGACCCATTGAGCTGTGTGGCAAAAATATGAGACTGCTTTCTAAAGCAGCTACCCACATAGCTCAAGAGCAAACCCAAGGGGGTTTCTGATAGCATTCGATTTTTGAGATGGTTGAATTGCAACAAAGTTAGAAGTCCATGACACCAAAAATATATAATTTCTACATGCTTAATCCCCACACCTGCATACTTGGATGTGATGCTTTCTCAAGGCAGGAAATGGGAAGATTTCAACTCTTCCCCATGCTCCACAGTTCATTAGTGAGTGGTGAAAAGAAATCAAAAGCATGAATAGTGTAAACTGCATAGAACAGAGGATATATTATTTCATTAAACTGCAAAACTTAGGTTTTAATACCCAGGCTTTATGCTTTGATACAGAAAAGAATTAGTGCAGATTTTATAATCCTTTTGCTGCAGTTCATTTTTAAGAGCCACATAAAAAAGGTAAAATATGTTATGTTTTAAAACTAGATGCACAGTGCACTCATTTCCATATTTAATATAGCCAACCTTTTAGATTTCTATTAGTCAGACTCCTGTTACGCTGTTGTCACTCTGCATACTTTTGCTGCAACAGATTGCTCTATAAACTAATTGGCAATTACTTATTTTATATATGTTGGAGAACTTTTTTATTCTGTTACTTTATTAAAAGACATTTATGAGTATACAGATCTAATTACCCAGATAGTTAAAGTCATTAAATGCAATTAAGCACAATGTTAAATCTATATTGTTAATTCAACTGAGTATTTATTGCGTATTTTATAGTTATATTGTGATTTTGGTGTTACGTCTCTTTGCAGGAAATGTATATGCTCAAATTGTTGTTGTTGTTTAATTGTTTTTACTGTATTTTGTCACTATTAATTTTATGAGTCACCTGGAGAACTACATTACTGGGCAGCTAATATATATTCCATAAATAACAGAATTAATTTCTTGCAAGAAACCTTCAATAAATCATTAGTAGCAAGCCACAAAATCTGCCTTAACTGTGGAAGATTGTAATGCTGCAAGAAGGTATGAGAAGCTTACAGAATCATCTGAAAAACACTGCTAGAGAGATGCAATACATCTCAATGCTATGCTTCATGTGTCAATGTGAATCACTATTCCATGCAATATCCACAGTTCATGCCTTAACAACTTTTGAAATGATACAAGGAAGAAAAACTCTACACAGGTTGGTCAGTTTAGGTGGCACATGATGTTTAATGAGCAATATTACTAGCAGTACGCCAACTGATACTATCAGTACACAGAGGCCCTTTCATATCAAGCAATCACACTTGTTGACAATGGTTGTTGGAACTGAATCCTGAGAAACAGTTCACTTATCTATCATTTTTCCTGCTATACTTTAGGTCACATTTATCTTTTGTATAGTAAAAGGAGCATTTAGAATTGGTTCTCCATGGTGATCATGTTTAAGAACAATGTTTAAGAACCTCCCCATGATAGTACAATCTGACTGAAATGTGTAAAATGCTCTTGTATGAAATTCACCTTCAACAAAAAAGATTCAGTAAAATAAACGAAAGGTTACAAAACCAGGCAAGTCACTAAACCATACAAAATATGCTTCTCGAAGCTCTACACAAGTTTTTACTTTCCTAACATTCCTCTGAAAGGCCACTTACTGGCAAAAAACCCCATGTATTAGGCTACCAGACAAATGGGATGGGGGAAGTCATTTAGCCTATACAAAATAGGTTATAAGTGCCTGAAAAACCACCCCAAATTCAAAGATTTTCACTTCTATTCTATCAACCCAATGAAATTATAAACCTGTTGATGTGTTTGATTTAAAAGGCATGCCAGCCTTATGATATTATCATGCAAATGCTATGGAACAGTTCTCAACAGACACAAGTGTTCGCCAAATCAGTGAGCCTTTTTCTATACAAAACTAGCTCTCAGGTATCCAAACTAATGTTATATATTTCTAATTTTTCATTATTCATTACTTACAATGTAAGAAAAATAGTTAATTAAATAGTTAGTTGTTCTTTATTTGATGGTCACAATTCAAATATAGTCAAACCTCGGTTGTCGAATGTAATCCGATCTGGAAGCCTGTTCTGAAATGTTCGACAACCGAGGTGTGGCTTCTGATTGGTTGCAAGAGCTTCTTGCACTCAAGTAGAAGCTGCGTCGGACATTTGGAAACTGGAATTTACTTCCGGGTTTTCGGCATTCAGGGACTGAAACGTTCGAAAACGGAGCCGTCCGACAACCAAGGTTTGACTGTAATCATACCACATACTCAATATGGCTTGGGACTTGTGTTTCTGGAACACTTAACCCAACACCCCAACTTTCTAGCTTCTCAAAGCAAGCCACTGTTATAACTGAGTGGATTCTCAGAAGTCTGAAATACACCATGCTGGTAGAAGACCAAAAAAGAGAAAAAATGGTAACAGTTGACATCCAAAGGACACACCTGATATGGCTTCCAAATTTGAGGCCCCCTCATACACAGCAAATACCGTCAGCATATTACTTTGCACTAATGTGCATGAAGGCGGGGCACCAGGAAATTTATTTCTGCTTACACTGAACTAGGCATGCCTCTTACAGTAATTATATATAGAAATGACAGTCAATCCACATCTGAGGGGTGTGTGTGTGTGTGTGTGTGTGTGTGTAAAATATGTATGAAAAAGAAACACACTTAATGAAGTTGTCATCTCTCAGTTGTAAAATACTCTCTAAGGCTGCAAACCAGCCCTATGGAGAGGTTTCTAGGATCAAGAGCCTGGTTTTCATTCTGTATTTTATTTGAAGACATGTTGGATTTTAGGAAAAATAGGAACACTATTAGTAAGGTATGCATATTTTTGTCAAATAGCTTTACAAGTATTCCAACACTGAAGTTGCTGACAGTATTAGAATATCACTTAACATAAATGGATTTATTCCAAGGTCACAAGAGGCACTAACTAGTACAAGACCAGAAGTTTTGATGCAAGTGTTTAATGTCTGATATTGCTATTTCCTGGAAGAATTCAGCATAAATTCAAGATTTTTAAATGAAAAACTTAAAATATTCATAGTTTGATGTAAAACAATGAATGATATAGTCAAAAAGGAACCTGGCCTTCAATGCATAGCTATATAACATGCACATCCTTTTACTTAAAAAAGGAGTTTCCCTTCAAAGTGCTCTGTTGTCACACGATACATTAATAAAAAGACTATCAGATTATATCCAGAATTTCCATCCAACAGTAGGCTTGCTAAAACAGCCACATCTCAGATTTAAGCTATAATATTATGAAGATTTTATTTTCTTCCTTTCTATATAAATAGTGTATGTACAGTCTTTCCATTAGGGATGGACTGGAGCAGCCTAATTTTGTTCTGCTTCAGTTTTTCCGGGACTTTAATAATAGGTTTGTCCTATCTCACTTTGTGCAGATATTTTGGAAGAACACTAAAAACTCTGTACAGATTTTTTTAGACTCCCCCCCCCCCTGCAAAGTAAGTTGCAGAACTGCATTTCAAAATCTGGATAAGTACATTATCTGTTTGGGAGTTGTCTTCTGATCTGCAAGCAAGTTGCATTGCTCTGCTGTGAAAAGTTTAATGAATAAATTATTTCTCCATCCTTACTTTCCATATTACAAAAGTTAAGCCGTTATGAAACTTGGGCTGTACTTCTCAACATACAGCTGATGTTTCTCATTTAAACACAAAATTTCCAAGAGAGTAGTAGTAGTCTGAACTCTAATGAGAGATAGCTTCTCCTTTTTAATGATTATAGATAAATGTCCATTTATTATATGTATTCATAAATTTTCCATTTATTGTACATTAGTAACAATCCATAAAAGTATAACTGACAGATTAGGAATTCTGTCTCATTCTGAAGCTAAGCAGATCCACTCTTATATCCAACATCATCACTGCTACAGAGAACACAGACTCCCACACAATTAGATTAGTAGGAAGTATCCCCAACTCATCATGCTGATTTGTTCTCTACCATGGCAGATTGTCTGGGCAGCAAGTGTGCCACCTTAGGCTGAACTGAAACAAGTCTAGAATGCAACGGTGAAGCTGTCCTTATCTATACAGGTTACTGCAGTGGCCTGACAAGCTTCTTCCCATATTCTACAAAATTTCTATAGTGCTAATTTTTTCTAACCAGCACTCTAAACAAAAATACAACCCAAGTAACTCTTTACTTGTCAACAAATGCTCTCTTCTCAATCAAAACCTTCTTAGAAAATGATCAAAGCACAACCATAGAGTTGCAAGGGCAAAGGAGGTTTACCCATCAACCATCATGGTTTTTACTATTAGTCACAGACTATAGTGTTAGCTAAGCTTCAGTTAAGAAGCTAAACTGCAGAGAGCTCAATGCACACCGTATTCCCGAAAGGCTGCTCTGAAACTCTTTGCATATTTGGCTACTTCAGAATGATTCATGGCTGTGAAAACCAAAGGTAACATAATACAGAGAATATAAACAGAGTTTTTAGGAAGAAAAATAAATGAATACGGCAGGGGGTGGGGTGGAGTGAAGAGTTAACAAGTGCAAGGCTTAGACTCAATGATCAAACCATGTCTATGGTGCTGCATCGAAGTCAGCCAACTGTACCAACCTCAAAAATCCACCTATGAATCATTCTTAGATAACATTTATCTTAAGACCTCAAAGAACCTCAGACCTTACTATCAACTTTTAGATTTAAAATTTTGCAGCAGTAAATATATGCAACTATTGCTTGGGCAAATCAGAGCCACTTGTTACAACTACAGTCAAAGGTATGGTAAGACTAAATATTTATTCATCTGGGTGCTAACGTTTGGTGAGTAGACAACTATAAAGATTTCCAGCAACTATCCAGGGACACAGTTGATTTCTATGGCTGGAAATCATTTCCTTTTAATACAATATACTTTTGCACCTGGAAACTCTGAAGTTAACGACCACACTTATGATTTGCTCAGTGAACCTTAAAAAGCAAAGGAATGCCACAGCCATAATGCTAAGTATAACAGAGATTGGTATTCCAGGTACGATGAACCTGGTCCTGCACATTGTACAGGCGACAACCATTTTGCACAGGGGTTCCGTTCCTGGCCCTGTGCATGTTTGCAGAGCGTGCATAAGCATGTCCTGCTCCCGTTCGCCCTCTTCCAGGTCCAAAAGTACCCACACATCATTTGGACACACCTAAAACAGTCACTGCCTGTACATAATTTGGTTCTCTTAAAGCAGCCCAGTACAATTTGTGACTGACTCATCAAAACTAACATGCACAGCCCACCAAATCTTGATGTTGCTGCTTATGAATAGTAAGACATGTCTGTTAGGGTACATTTGGTTTGGTAGGTCACAAGGTGCTAGCCCAATACTATGCTGCAATGACCACACAAGTACATATTTGCACTGCAAACTCTTTTCACTATTAGAATTGATAATAACTTGGCCCTAATGGAATAAGGAAACCACTAATAAAACTTTATCTAGGTCCAACACTACTTTGAATGACTACAGAGATAATAAATACTGATGATAAATGCCATGAATGACTAATGTAATTAGATCATCAAATATCTTAATAAAATTGCTAGGGACAACATTGTTGATATTCTTTTATTCCACAATGGTAGAGTGCTGTTTTTTTTCCAAAGAGACAAACATGCATTGCTACTGAAGAGTTCAACAGAAGTTAAATACCGTGGTTGACTTCTGGGAGTCTTGTATCAGAAAGGGACAAGTATACTATGATGACACCATAAACATTCCACAGCTATTATCTATTTGCAAGTTACACAGTTAATCAGTAAATCTTCAATTCTGGCAACTACTTCCAGAAATCATTCTGTAGGACAGCTATTTTAATAGGATGCAAGCAGTACCCATATCTTCAAGCTGTTCACCTGGTACAAGTGTACATTTTGGAAAAACAATTTTCATTTGACTTACTGATAGTATTGATTTACTTAAGTTGTATACCTGTTATTCTAAACAATGGACTTCAAAGTTTAAGCTTCAGTATACCACATGTGTTAATTCAGGGGAGTAATTTTCTTTTTGTACAATTTGAGTTCCTTAAGATCTGGTACAGCAGGTGTTACGGCATCACTGTCTATTAGGCTAATAGCCACTACCAAATTATTATTTTTCATTGGTGGACTAAAAATATTTGAGAGTGTTGAACTTTTCAGTCAAAGTTAAGAATGTTTGTAGGCAGATATTTTCACGGTTAGCTGTTTCATGGATAATGCTGGCTCTCTGGTTTTAAACTGCCCCCATCTTTCAGGTTTTGCTGTTTTCTTATGCTACATTTTAATTCTTAATTTTGTATCCCATCTTGCGAATCCCCACCAAAAAGCAAGCTAAATTGCTGAAATCAATAAATAATGTCAAATAGTCATAACAAAATTAATTCTGCATGGAAGGCGAGATTTGTCAGACTTATACTGCCAAGAATTTCAGCAACTGCACTTAAGTGCACAATGTAAAATATAATTATTAGCTGAGAAAGACATGGAGGAGCTAAAAAGTTGGATCATCTTTGCCAAAGACAATTTTAGTATTAAGTTTGTCAAAATCAACATACCAAAGTGTGCTGAACCACTGCTACTTTTACTTTGTATAGAGGTACTGCATGTCTGGGTCCCAGGTTGTGCTGTGCCAGTTCGATTTACACTCCTGTGTAATTTCCTATAGGAAAGTTCATCATTGTCACTGTCATGTAGGGATGGTGTCCGAGGCCTAAAATGCCGCCATCTACATGATTTGATATTGACTAGTATTTGACTGAGGTCTTTAGAGAAAGATCTGTCCGAGGTATTTGTTTCTGAGGTATTGGCAAATTGATTGATTGACGAGTGTAGTTGTGAAGAAAGCATTTCTGAATCCAGCTGGCAAAATGCACTGTTGTTCTCCGAATAGGCTCGGTCCAGTAGCACCCTAAAAATGGGAAGATTGTTGTTTTTATAGCATACAAGCTGAAGTGACATTTACAACCCAACCCCTTTTTATATCAACCACGTTGGGGGAAAAGAAGCAGAAACAAAAATTTGAGAATCTTGCCACAAAACTTTCCAAATCAACTGTTAACTCAGAAGACCTCCAACATTTGAAGCATAAAGAATTGTGTTAAGGGCCATATGTGAAAGAGCAAGTCAGCATAAAGACTTAAGTTATTATTAAATAAATAAAGTCAATGTGATAAGATAACTTATTTCGACATTCAACATGTTACTTCTATTTGTAATAAAGTATTTTTAATGTAGTTGCTGGATCACACTTTTGCTATCAGGTTTTCCACAATGCCTTATATAAATCTTTAAGAAATTACTGTAAAATTGCAATTAAAAGCACTGGCAGATCTACAGAATTCTGAATGGGCAAAGATGAGGATACAGTGTCTTTTAAAGACATATTTACATTTGATTAGGAACTGAACAGGCAAAACAGAAAAGGAAGCAAAAGCACAAATTAAGTTAATAATTTTAGACAGCCTATAGTTGCACTTCAAACCAACAATGAAGGGCTTGTTCAAATACAATGCCACACCATGATTTGGCACTATGTAAACAAGCTGGAGAATCTCACTGCACACAATTTTCTGCTTCCTGAACTAACAGTTTATGGCAAATGAATCTGACTGTTTAGATGCAACGACAGACCATGGCTTTCCTCAAACCATGATTGGGGGCAGGGAATAGCAGCATGGGGGAAGGAATAGCCTGTAAGCCTAGTGTTACTCAAGCCTTGTTTATGTAGCACCAAACCATGGTTTAAGATTATGGCTTAGGTCTGTGCAAGGAAGAAGAAAAAAATCAAGCATGCTTGAAAATACAGCTGTTTGATCATCATTTTTTATATTAAAGAAAATATGCACATATTTCACCAGTTTTAGACCGAGCTCAACTGCCTGCAGATTAAGTGACTTCACTTCAGGTTTAGCTGATGGTTGAAATATTTTTATCTTTATTGCCTGTGACATGTTGCAAGATTTACAGAGCTTGCCAGCCCACCACTGGTAGAGAATTCACAAAAGAGGATCATTTTTCCCCATCAAGAGGAGAGTGGGCTGGTGTTTTCTGCCTGCCTAGGCAAGAGAGACAAAGTCTATTACCCCCCAATATTTGGGTACATGGGAAAAGACTTGAGGAAGGGTGCATCAGCAAGAGACGTACTCCAAGGCAGCAACAATCTCTCAACTCTTAAGTATTGTCCAGTAAAGCACTAGCTGAATTAATTACCTGAAAAGAGAATCAGACTCTCATCTCATGCTGTGCTTAGGGACAGCTGGAAGTAGCAAGAAATTTTTCTCAAAACTTCTGAGTGTATCCCAAGCTTACTTTAATGAGAGTTGTTGACACACCAGCCCCTTCTCCTGAAGTGCTGAAAAAGGAGCCTAGACTGCTGACCACAGGGTTAGCAATCAAGGCCAGACAATAACTTGTGGACTCCTCTTTCCCATCTCAATACTTTCATTGCTCAAATGCTTCCAAACTTTCCTGCAGCAGATGATTTAGAGGATTATCTTAACCAAGGTAAAGGTAAAAAAATCCTTTAAGGGCTAGTTAGTTTTTCAAGTAAGTACAAAAATCTAAGCAAAACTAAAAGAACTTTATTGTACTGCCTTTCACATTCTCACCGATACATATTGAAACTTTTATGTTAACCACATTAAAGATAAATAAGCCTACCTTCCACCACGTCCAACCCGTCTACGTGAAAACCCAATACACCGCTGGGGTATAGTAAGGGTTGTTAAGCAATATCTGTAACGCTCATCTCCTAACGCTCCCCCTTTAGGAGTACTCCACGGCCAGTCACCAGTTTGGTCTACATGAGGCTTGAAGAGAAAATTTTGAGAACAAATATTTTAGAATGTTATTTTCATTGTTAATATCAGTATTATTTGTTTGTAGAAACTCAAAACTTACAGCATAATACTGACAGCCTGCTTTCCTACGGAAAGCAAATGGACCATCAGGATCATTTTCTTCCTCAGCTTCAGAAGAACCAGATAAGACCTTTGAACATACAGGAAGAGAACACAGGTAAGAATCTGAGGGCACAATTTTCTTTCCTCCCCTAACTATAGCAATATTCTAAATATCTCTATTCAGAATTAAGTCCCACTGAATTCAGTGGGCTTAGTCCCATGTAAGTGGTTATAGGATTACAGTCGAAAATATGAAAGTCATACTTGGGAAAGCGGTTCCTCATCAGAGCTGGGAAAGTCATATTGATTCATATCTTTAGCATTGAAGACTGGCAGTGCAGCAGGAGTTGTCTGTTGAGTAGCAGCAGTAGCCGAGGAAGGTACAACTTTGGGCTTCTTCTCATACTTTCTTTTGGGTCGTATAATGTCCGCTTTCTCTTGCTGCAAGGAGAAAACAAATAACCCATTAAGAAACGGCAAAAAATAATAAATAAATAAATAAAATGTCTGGACAACCAAAATATAATAAAATTGGAATGATAATTTTTTATTAAATTTACTTTACGCTTCAGTTATCTAGGATTCTTCTAGACTTGGGACTCTAAACATTTTGGCCCCATTTTAAAAAGCTGAATAAGTACATATATCTTCAAAGATTTAATCACCTTGTTGACTTTGAATTCCTTTAGTTCCATACTTTCTTGGTGTTTAAACTGAGTGCTATTAGGAACAGGAACAACGGGAATAGCATAGGTTGGCTTCATGGGCTGCCGCTGGGCCATTACCTCAGACACGATCTCACCATTATAATCGCCCAAATTATATCTGAAAATTATAAAAAAGCTGCTATAATTCTTTTTAAGCATTTAATACTTTAATATTTATGCCTACACTTTGTGAAATCCTTTATTTATCCAGTAAATACAGATATTATTTCATCTTACACAGACAAAATATTCCTATAGCCTTCCTCAACCTGTTGCTCTCAATATGTTTCGGACGACACCTATTGGCCACGCTGGCTGAGGCTCATGGGGAATTGTAGGCCAAAACAATACAGGGCGCCAGGTTGGGGAAAGCTGTTATAGAACACTACAACAGCTTCCAAAATTCTTAAGTCAATGATTTCAGCAAATGGATTAGAAGTGTGGGAATTAAGTGGCAAGTACTGATTTTGAGTCAGTATTATCTACCCAGCCAACATCACTGGATTAGTTCAAGAAAAGTGGATTATGACATGGTGGTTTTTCTCAACTGATGGCACAAATTTCAACAATGGATAGCATGCAACAAACTGAATCCCTTTAGCAATGAGAATAGTCCATTTCAAAGTGCTTCCATTACAAAATTTAATATATTTTCCTGAAGTTTTCAATAAATCACCAATATTTAAGACAGTTACAGAAACATGCCAGACTCAAATCCCCCTTGCCCCTCTCTCTTTTTCACAATACAGTGGTACCTCTAGTTACGAACTTAAATTTGTTCCACCAGCACACGATTTCCGTTCTCATCCTGGGGCAAACTTCTCAACTCGAGGTAACTCTTCCAGGTTAGCGGAGTTTGTAACCTGAAGCATTTGTAACCTGAGGCGTTTGTAACTTCGAGGTACCACTGTACTGCCTTCACCTCAGCCTCTCATCCATCAACAAATGAATAGTAGGGAGCAACTTATGCTGTGATTTTTAAAAGAAGTATTTTTCTAGACACCTGCCTTGTGCTTGCCTCAGTTTCAAACTTACAAAAGGTGTGCTTCAAAAAGATAGGAACCTGCCTTATACAAAGTCTGACTATTGGTCCATCTAGTAATGCTTGTTCTGCCTGGCAGAAGCTTGCGACTGTCTCTTGTCAGGAATCTTTCATAGCCCTAACTGGAGTTGTCAGGGATTGAATCGGGGTTAGTGACAATTTGTTAACCTTGCCCCCTCAAAGTAGTAAGACTTATCAAAGATATCAAGCTAAAAGCATGTGAACTGGAGCAAGCGATCTAAGAAGGAGTTATGTTTTTACACACCAAGAGCCATAACTGGGGAAAATGCCAGGATGCATGATGCCACAAGTTTATGATTTGTAAGCCCATGTTATTTCTCAACTTGTAAAAGGAGAGCTCATTAATTTTGACTGGTTCTAGGTAGAAACATCAGCATTCAATCCAAGTGAAATTGTAACCAACTGATGAATACATTTGTCATGCAGTCACTCCAACAAGGCAGGTGGGCTCTCATGAAAATACGGCATTGCTTTGTGACTAGAAGTGATGTTCACTACCAAATTCATAATGTTAAATAACTACTGTACTAAGATACAAATAGTGAACATGCAAAAACAAGCTGCATTTAAGGAGACCTTCCATACAGAAAAAACTACCTACCCTATGACAGAGTCAGACCTTTACAATATTGCAGTGCGGTCCTAACCATGTCTACTTGAAAGTAAGTCCTCTTGTTTTCAATGGAGCTTACTCCCAAGTAAGTTAGGACTGCAGTCAGTTAAAAAATCAGAGCAAAATAAATAGAACATTATCTCTATTCTTTGTATTTAATAGTAACATTAATAATACTTTTTTAAAAAATGAGTATTTCAATAGACATTAATTCTTTACCTCTTTTCCATAATTTCCAGTGTTAAATGCAGTAACTCCCTCTTACTTTTTTCCCGTCTCTTTATCATCTCTAGAATTGTTACCGCACGACTCAAATCCCGACGCAGCTTAAGCATCTTTTCATATGATGCCTCATCATTTTTCCGATTCTGCAAAATAAATAAATAGTCACACAGACCACACAGACACCTGCATTTTTATAAACACAAACTCTTCTGGGCCATAACACAATCCATTATCCTTATTCCTCTTGCAGAGGCAAGCTCTAAATAGTGTACCTGTTCAAAGAATTCATATAAATATAAACATACTCACTTTACGAGTCTGCATCTTTTCTGTTCGCCTTCTAAATGCAACATAAGGATCGTTTGTGCTGGAACCATCACGCTTCTCCTGTTTTACTGCTGGGATAAGAGACGGACCTCGACAGTTTTTCCTCTTTTTAATCCAGTACTCATATACTTCTCTAATCAGTTCATCATCTTCTTTCAAGAGTAGCTTGGCCTCCTGCAGGCTGACTGGCTAAAAGTAAAACACAAGTGTGTCACTTTTGTACATTTATTTATTCTGCAACAGTTGTAACAGTTTCAAACAGTGATGTGAAGCCGGCATTTCCCCACTACTTTACTTTTTATATAGAAAACATTTTCATTTCATAGAGTTGCATGCAATGTTAGCTCTACTCCGAGTAGACCCAATGAGATTAAAATTAATGGGCCTAGATTAGATGAATCCATCTATTGGGTTTCTCTAAGAACAACTTTGTTGGATACAACCCATATGCTCATTGGTAACAATGAATATATGTCAAATGTAAATACAGTATTAGGCAAGTTTCTCAGATTCAACGTTTTTAGTTATGTTTAATAAATACAAGTAAAACAAACAGGGCAGGGATGGGAAACTTACCCTCCAGAAGCTGTTGGGATTCCAATGCCCAGCAGCCCCAGTCACTAAAGATAATAGTTGGGGATGTTGAGAACTGGCTTAACAACATCTGGAGGGCATCAGGTTCCCCAATCCTGCTCTAGAACATCAGAAAATTTTCTGATGCAAGCGAAACATTTTCAGTTGAAAATTAACATATGCAAATTTGCTTAAGACTTTCTTTTAAATTCCGAATTTTCTAGCAAACCCACATAAATGCTTTCAAGTATCTGAAACAATGCTATACCTGCTGACCACTGCCTTTTTCCAGCCGATCTATCATTTCTTCAAATTGCAAAGGAGAAATATCAATCTTTTTCTTCAGCTTATTCACAAAGGCCTCATCTTCTGAATCCAAGTCATAATCTGGCTGCTCTGCATCCAAACTAAAAGCTGGAGGGGGAAAAGTATGTTTTATGCTTTTGTTCTCAGGTGTTCTGGGGAGAAAGAGGTAAGGCAGGGCAGACAGCTATTTGGACATTGGCCAGATTTGGATGTAATGCTCAAGCATAGTTCAGCATCACATGAACAAGCCTTGTTTCCTTCCAGGCCTACACTTCACCCTCACTTCTCCCATATCTAGGTTTAAGATAATTATGATTAGTTTCAAACGCCGGCCCACTGAAGCTAATCAGTTCGTGTTAAGTCACCATTCCAGTTTGAATTAAAATGTTTTATGATATACCTTATACCATGTCAAACCATTATTCCATTTAGCTCTTTACTGTAATCAATGACAGAGTGAATGGCTGCAACTCACAGAGGATTCAGACAGAAGTCTTTCCCACCTCTGCCTGGAGATGCCACTAACTGATACTGGAACATTTTGAAAGCAAAGCCTGTGGTTTCCCATTAAGCTATGGCCCTTCCATACTGAGCTGTGGCCATGAGAGAGGGACCTAGGTTTGCTCATGCAGTTGCTAGCCATCATATTGTTATTTCTGAACATAATGTTACAGCAGCTTTAAAAAGAGATTAGTTCAGTTTAAGTACTGTTTTTTACAGAGACCAAGTTAAAGTAAATATCCTCTTTAAAAAGGTCAATTTCAATTTAGAAATCTGCATACATGTTACTGAAACATGGAATACTAACATAATTTTCTTTACAGCGTCCTGACAATGTCGACTTAGGATAACTGGCTTACTTGCTTGTCAGGTTATACGACGTTTTAATTAAAACCGTATCCTGAAATGACTATAGGCAGAAGTCTTGTAATGTGGACTTCACCCACTGAATCAATTGGGCACAAAGAGCTGATTATCTGCATCATCTTAAGCATGATACTCTGAACTCTAGATACTTTCTCCAAGTCAGAAGCAAAAAAGGAGTTATAGTGCATTCTTGAGACTATAAAGTTATGCTGGAAGCCAAATGGAAAATTCCCAGCTCACTGGTTGCCTGCCCCTAGAGTAGCAGAAGCTAAACAACTAACGACACTTGTGTATGTGTGGTGGTGGTAAACAATCCCAGAAGACAACTCTACTCTGTTAACCATAGTTGAATCACACACACTCACAGAGGTGGTCAATGGTTTGTTTCCAAGATGAAAAAGCAACACCACATTAGGGTTCCTTAGAAACACAGTGGTAGGTTTAGGCATAACAAACATGCTACTTTTCTGGAAACTACTGTAGTTGTGCTAACAGACAAAACACCCTAATTCCAGATACCTACAGTAAAGTTAAGACAAATGTAACAACCATTCACCTGCCCTCAATGAACCCCACCCAGCCACCCCACAAACCCAAATCTTTTTCCAGTGAAGCCTGGGAATTTATTATTACAGAAGGCACAGGGTATATCAATCTATAGGAAAACAAGATTTTATATCACTGGTCTGCCCCACAAAGGACTGAAGCCACAACATTCTGTACTAGCTATGGTTGCTGAACAATCATAGGAAACTCCACTGAGCAAAGAACAGCAATTAATCCTAGTTCTCATGCTTTGGGGAAGAGATGCAGTCAGCATAAGAGATATCAATGAAAATGGATTCTCTGGCCAAAAGCACTCCCAGGGAAACAGAGTTGCTCTTTCAGAGCAATTCAGTGCATCAATTACAACTATACATATCTCTTCAAGATCACTTACCCCAACCCCAATACAGCTTTAGTTTTGCCTGGATTCAATACCAGATTATTCACCCCAATCCAAACCAAGGTAAACTTGAGACACCTGTTACAACACCAACCACTGCACCCAAAATCAAATGGGAATGTAAAACAGAAGTGGGCATAATCAATGCTGGAAAACCCCACCCTAGCCTAGGTTTCTCAACAGTTCATTTATAAGATGCCAGTTATGAAGTAGCTCCACTCCTATATGACATTTCTCATTCTCCTGCACTGTCTTCTGTGACCAGACATGATAATACTTTCTTGCAAGTACACTGGTACCCGGTTTTCGAACATCTTCGCAGACGAACATTTTGGTTTTCAAATGCTGTAAAACCAGAAGTAGATGCTTCAGTTTTCGAACATGCCTCGGAAGTCAAATGTGCCACACGGCTTCTGCTGAGCGCAAGATCCTGAGGCCTAGCTGTCGGCTATTGAGTTTTCAGTTTTCAAACGTTTCAGAACTTGAACGGTCTTCCAGAACAGATTAAGTTCAAAAACCGAGGTACCACTGTATGACATTTGTTTACCTTTACTGCAGTCAATATTTAAATTTTCTAGTTTCTGCCAAATTATTTTAGTATGCAATATTACGTAATAAAAAGGTAAAGTATTAACACTGTTTTGAGAAAGTAAATTTCAAGGTGTCACAGCACCTTTTGTCATCTTGAAACTACCAACTCACAAAGTTACTTTTCCAGAAAACAAGAGTAAGGATGGCACTGCCCAAGAAACCCAAACAAGAATCACAAGTGGAGTTTAGAAGTAAAGATATACTTACGCTGTATGTGAATAAGCTGCTTTGGCATCTTAAATTCTCCAGGGTATATAGATTCATAATAAGCAATATTACTTTCCGCTTCCGGGACTGGTATAACCATATTATCCCTCTTCTCGCCATATACCTGCTGTGCTGAAATGGCCCGCTGGAGATGATGTTCCTAAAATTAAAGAGGGGAAAGAGAGAAAAGTTGAAAACCACAATGCACATTATTATTATGGGGGGGGGGGTATTTTAAATGTTTTAAAACTGCCTCTTTGGAAAAAGTCCCCTCAGTGTAAGAAAATATAAACATTACTTTCGTCAAAAATTCTACCATTAAGATTTACAGGTTATGTGAATTTACAATAGGTTAAGCTCACAATTACAGGATTAGTAAGTAACTAGGAACAGCACAAAGCAAGTCAAAATCTGTCACTAATAGTAGCACAAGACCACCAGCAGCAACAACAAAAGGATTAGCTAATAAGTTGGCCAAGTCCATTTTATTAATATTTTTTATTTTATTTATTGGTTTACTGCGCTTGTTGAGATCAATAGTCTTTAAAGAGGAAGGTAAAACTTAATTTTCATCTCTCAAGTGAAACTGTCTTAACAGTTACTAAAGTAACCAAATAATCATAGCATCAACAGGGTGGGTTAGTGCAGATGTATTGATGGCTCTCTACTAAACAAAATAAGGGAACTGGTGGCCAGCCTCTCAAAACTTCTCCTTTCTAACCCTTCTCCTTCCTGGAGCAAAACTGCCCTTCTCTCACCCTTAACTATAATTAAGTAAGTAAACCATCAACCTTCATGCCCACTGTAGACAAGGTGGAAATTTGCTCTATAGAGGGAAGGGAGAACACATTCAAAAGGCTGGTTCCTATTTCCTGTAACCTATAGTTAGAGATCTAGTGTTCAAATGTACCGTATTTTTCCCTCTATAACACGCAGATTTTTTCTCCTAAAAAGTAAGGGGAAATGTCTATGTGTGTTATTGAGTGAATGTGTGGTCCCTGGAGCCGACTGGCCTGAGTGTATCACACATTTTCTTCGAGGGTCGTCTTCGTTGCGGTCAGCAGAAGCCAGGGAAGTGCTTGCTAGGAGGTTTGGCCACTCTGATCGCTTGATTGTGTGTGCAGCGCGACTGTGTGTTTGCTAGTGTGTGTGCTTTGTGAGTGTGTGGCTGCCTGTGTTTTTGTTCGCTAGCGTGGGTGCTTGGAGGGAGTGAGAGAGTGACTGACTGCTGCATCTTCTCCTGCAATTTGTCTTTTAAAAAATTGGAAGCAGCGGGGCAGTAAAAAACCACCTCCGAAAGCCCCATTTTTCCCTTCTAAGGCTGCAGCTCGGCTTTGGGAGCCCTGAACCCCTGCCTTATTCTTGAGGGATCTTTGAGGTTTTCCCTTTAGCTTTAACCCAGCCCCCTTATTTTACCAGTTTATCTTCATTCTCGGTGTGGTAAACTGATTGCAGGCAGCCACACTTGCCTTCGAGCCTCCCGAGAGAGAAAGCTGTTGCTTTCCTGCATTCTGCCTCAGGGTCTTACTGCCCACCCTCTTCTGTTTCGTTACTGTGTTTGCTCAAAGGGAACAAAGAGCAGAGAAAACCCCTCTCCTCCAGGCAAGCAGAGGGGAAAGCAGAGCGTCCTTCCTTCTAATTCCTCTCCGTGCTGCTGCTGCATCTAGGGACTCGCAGGCAACATGCAGGTGGGGGGGGGGAGAGAGAGAGAGAGAGCGCTGGCTGGCTTGGGTGGGTGGGTGGGGGGACTTTTGCCTTCCTTTCCTCCCTCCGGTAAAACCCCTCTCCTGCATTCTTAGCCAGCTGGTTCTCCGCACACCCCTCTCGGTGCTCCTTGTCCCTTCTATGTTTTTCCTTCCCTCCCCACTTAAAACGTGGTTACAAAGCATGGATCCACATGGATCTTTGCATTGGGTCACCCCAAATTCACCATCAGATCACATAGCAATGATCTGATGCAAAAACAGGGCTGTAATGGTGCAAAAACGTGGTTACAAAGCACGGATCCACATGGACCCTGAGGATCTTTGCATTGGGTCACCCCAAATTCACCATCAGATCACATAGCATGTCCATGGCTACAGCCTGCACCAAAAAAAAATCACGCACCCACTGTTGCCTGGGGCTGCAATGGTGCAAAAACATGGTTACAATGCACAGATCCACATGGATTCTCAGGATTTTTGCATTGGGCTACCCCAAACTCGCCGTCAAATCACATGTCTGTGGCCACAGCATGAAGCACAAAAATGATACATCCACTGTTTCATTCAGAATTTTTTTTTTCTTGTTTTCCTCCTCTAAAAACTATGTGCGTGTTATGGTCAGGTGCGTGTTATCGAGCGAAAAATACGGTAGTTCCCAGTTCTTCAGACTATGGCTCAAAGCAGCCTTCCCCAGCCTGACTCTTTCCAATATTTTGGACTACAACGCCAATCAGCCGCAACTAGCATGGCCACACTGACTGAGGCTAATGGGAGCTGTAGTCCAAAATATATCGAGTGCACCAAGTTGGGCAAGGCTAGTGTAGAGAATCTAGAATATCCCTTTCCTGGTTTGTTATTTTTTACCACATATGTCGGAATTCAGCAAACTTCAATTACACAACCCAAAAGTTGCCTCCAAACAAATTGGAGGAGTAGTTTACAATTTGAGAAGGAGTTACAAAGCATGGTTTGAAAGCAATTCTTAGTTAACACTAGACAAACTCTGGCCAACCCACACACCACAGTAATGAAGTCTGATGATCACTGGCTTGTGGTAACATTAAGGCAGGCTTTTTTTGGGCGGGGACCAATGTTATGGAATGCCCTTCCTGCTGAAATACAAGAGGCTCCATCCATAGAGACATTCCACCTGCTCTTGAAGACATCTGTTAGGCACACATACCTCTGACCTTGAACTGCCTGATCCAATTGTTTTCATCATTCTTTTAACTATTTTAATTATTATGATTTCTGACTGACTTGTTTTACTATCAATTTTAATTATGGATGTTTTTTAATGTTTTGATGTACTTCTTATATTATGTTTTTACTTGTGAACCACTTAGAAGCCATTTTGGCATGTAAGCAGTACATAAATTAATAAATAATAACAAGAACAACTGTTACGGTCAGACAAGAAAAGTAGGAGAGAAGGATCTGTGGGAGAGGAAGCAAAAAAGCCTGTGGCCAGTATTATATCCATACTAGCTTCAAGTTTTCATTTCTAAACCTTTTTAACATGTTAAAACAGACAGAAGTCCCTTTGGCAGTTTCCCTTTCCTTTTTGATGGTATAAATGTTGTTCCCATTTCTCAGGGTCTCTAATCAGACTTGCTCACACTGGTTGCAATAATTAGGTGGTTGCTCATTGCTCCAATCTGGCAACCACACACACTGGGCATCAGTATTTGGAATCACATTTCTTCTCTTATTGTATTCAAGATGAATGATCAAGAAACAGACATATAAACCTCTGCAGTCAAATGGCACTACACACAACAATTAGAGAGCCATGGTCAAGGTAAAGGTAAAGGTACCCCTGACCATTAGGTCCAGTCGCAGAGGACTCTGGGGTTGCGGCGCTCATCTCGCTTTATTGGCCGAGGGAACCAGCGTACAGCTTCCGGGTCATGTGGCCAGCATGACTAAGCCGCTTCTGGTGAACCAGTGCAGCACACGGAAACACCGTTTACCTTCCCGCCGGAGCGGTACCTATTTATCTACTTGCACTTTGACGTGCTTTTGAACTGCTAGGTTGGCAGGAGCAGGGACTGAGCAACGGGAGCTCACCCCGTCGCGGGGATTTGAACCGCCGACCTTCTGATCGGCAAGCCCTAGGCTCTGTGGTTTAACCCACAGCGCCACCCACGTCCCTTAGAGAGCCGTGGTACTTACTCTTAAAGTAATACATTAAGGCATTGTTTGACCTTGATTAGCAGCTGCCCATTTTTAATCTTAGTCAATTCAGAGAATTCATATAATTGCCTTTTATAATAATTATACCTTGGCTAAACAGAGAAAGCTACTAAGTATAGACAGTGGTTAGCAACTGCAGGAATGTTTGAACTACTGCTACCTTGCCAATCATGAATGCGATTAAGGGTTTGAGAATCAACTCAGCCAACTGGCACTTCTTAAGTATGATCCCCCACACACTTGGGAACATTTCTTAATCCATTTTTTGTAGTGTGCTGTAGATAACCAGTATGAAATACACCCCTGATAAAGTCTGAAAGATTTAAAGAAATATGTGACCAATTGTACAACATAAAGTACAGTGGTACTTCGGTTTAAAAACTTAATTTGTTCCAGAGGTCCGTTCTTAACCTGTAACTGTTCTTAACCTGAAGCACCACTTTAGCTAATGGGGCCTCCCGCTGCCGTGCAATTTCTGTTCTCATCCTGAAGCAAAGTTCTTAACCCGAGGTACTATTTCTGGGTTAGCGGAGTCAGTAACCTGAAGCATCTGTAACTCGAGGTACCACTGTACTCTGAATTGGTGACTAGGAAATAATTGGGTCCTGTTTACAAGTACTCCAAAGGGAGTATCAGGAACAAGTCATTGTTTCAGAAGACATTAATATGATTTAAATACCACTTAAAGGCATTTTGAATTGGTGTATTCAGAAACTGGATGCTGAGACAGTTCAAATGTATTTCAGAGTTAATCTACTGCAGAGATTCTTCTGAGGTTAAAGTTTCTAAACAAAAAAAAATAAACACTAACTTTTCCAATATGTCTTCAAAATTTTGGTTTGGGGGGGGGCAGAGGTGGAGGAAGAATATAATTATAAGTCCAGATATATGGAAGAAAATGGTGCTTCAGGTACGCCTGGGCCTAAGCACTCCAAGCGCCTGCTGAAGCCTGAAGTATTTAAGTCGAGAAGGGAATCCACAAGTTTCCTGCACGCCTATTTTTTGAGAAGAGTATAACCTCATCCCTAAAGGGCTAAACTCAAATGCCCTGATCTTTGTTTCTATTGACTACAAGAAGCACTTCTGCAAGAAGTTACTTTGTTCACCCTCAACCAGTCCATTACTTATATCGCACACTAATTCAGAATATCAGCCTTGGCTTGTGATGAGGAGGAGATAACAATTTGATGTCGTTCATAAGCTGACAATACTGAACTCCAAAGCAAAGCCCCAGGCAACTTCCCCCTTAGGTTTCAGGCAGACTGGTCAAACAGAATGAAAAAATCAACAGAAACCTGTGGAAAACCATACACTAGTGACCAAGCTGTCTAACAGGAGTTACCCTGCACCACTTCTGATACCAAACCATTACTAAATAGTGCCAGCTGGTCCATCACAGCTAGGTGTTTCAGAAGGATATAACAGATAATCATACTGAAAGCTAGGTGATCCAGCAGAACCTTGCATTCTCCAAGGGGTCACATATCAGGACCTCACCTGTCCTCAAAAAATTCTCAAAGCTTATAGACAAAGGCTCTGAGATTACAAGTTGCTTTAATATCCTTGGGTGCAGCTCATCAGGCCCAGGAATCTGAACTCATGTAGTTAGATTTCCCTTACCACATATTTTCCTATATTGGACTGAAACTCCCTACTCAGAGTAGGCCCACTGAAGTAAATAGATATGACCAGCAATCATTAATTTCAATAGGTCTAATTAAAAATTAAAAAGAAAACTCAATTGTAAATACTGTAAATACTTACTGAATAAATTGAAATTTTAATACTAAATATGATCATTTAATGGCAAATCAAGCTATAGATACATTTTGCATTCTGTAAGAATCCTTAAGTATCAAAGTGACCTTTGTTCTGTAAAGGATGCTAATGTAGAAATACATAATGGTACAAGAATATAGGAAACTTTGACAGACCCTTCCCTGTGTGAAAACCACAATTCAAAATGTTTCTTACACACCACATTTACACAAGGAGCATTTAGAAAGGGAGGGGAGGGAGGAAGAGCAAAGGCGATATTTAGTAATTCAGAAATAGGTTTCACGTAGTTCCACATGCTCATAACCTGCAAGGTGGCGTAATTCTTCAATTAAAGAATTGAGAATTAAATACCAAAGGATTTCAAAACATTCAGGACTCCTGACTAGTAGAGACTTGTATTTTGGCTAGTACCCAAAAACAACAGTTTATTTAAAGCAAATAATTTCACATTAAAGTAAAAGGTAAAGGGACCCCTTTTACTCGTGGACAACTCTGGGCTTGCGGCGCTCATCTCACTTTACTGGCCGAGGGAGCCATGTGGCCAGCATGACTAAGCTGCTTCTGGTAAACCAGAGCAGCGCACGGAAACACCGTTTACCTTCCCGCCGGAGTGGTACCTATTTATCTACTTGCACTTTAATGTGCTTTTGAACTGCTAGGTTGGCAGGAGCAGGGACCAAGAAACGGGAGCTCACCCCGTCGCGGGGATTCGAATCGCCAACCTGATCGGCAAGCCCTAGGCTCTGTGGTTTAACCCACAGAGCCACCCGCATTCCTCACCATTAAAGTAAGAACAACCATATAGAGTAAAAATAGTACCAATCACAATTAAGGCATCTAATCACCTTAAGAGCTAAAAACAATAAGGATTGTTTGTAATGGGAACACTCAAGTGTTGTTACCCTCCCCATCACAGAATAAATAACACAGGTGGTTAATACTGCACATGCTCCTAGAGCAGAGGTACGGAACATTTTTGGCTCTATGGGCCAGGTCTTTATCAGGATCTGTCTTACAGGCCACATTTTACAGGTGAGTGGGGCCACCCACCTGCAAAGCACATGGCTTTGCAAGTGAGAAGGGGGCGGATGCTTCAAACAGCACTTTTGAGAAGCCCTTTACAGAAGCTCCTTCAGTCCAATTTCAGCTACAACAGGAGCATGGGGGCTTTTTAAGTACTTCTCAAAAGTGCTGTTTGAAACAGATCACAGAAATCTCTCCCCATCCTGCCATCCACCCCCCACCCACATGCAGAAGTGCAGGAGCTGTTTCACACAGCACTACAGAGGTGCTTTGATCTCCTCTCATCAGGGGAAGAGCAAGGATTAAATCCTGCTGCCTTGACTGTGCAATTCTTTTCCCTACTGGGAACCGGGCACATTGCCAATGCAGGATTAGCCGCTGTGCTCCTGCCCATCAGTTAATGTTGCCAGTGATATTGGGTGGGCAGGTGAGCATGGTTTGAGGAAAATAGCCCTGTGGTCCAACTTGCCCCCCTCCCCGAGAAGGCAAGGTTAGCCTGCAGGTCGAAGGTTCTCCACTCTTATTCTAGACCAGGGTGGTTCAACTTTTACTAACAAGTGGGCCGCAAGAGTACTTTGTCATAGAGCCTGTGAGCCACACACTGCCTCGTCACATGAGGGGTGGGAAGCAAGGCCAAAATTGACCCCCCCCCAGCCCTTGTGCTACCTTCTCAAAGCCAACTAAGCAAGGCACCAGGCTTTAGGAAGGAGGCACAAGACTCTGGCAGGGTCCTAGAGCCCTCCCACTTCCTTGCCAAAGCTGGGAAAGCACTTAGAGGAAGAGGCCGGAGGACTCTAGGAGCCTCTCAGAGCCTCCTTCCCAATGCTAAGTGCCTCGCTTAGCTGGCTCTGGGAAAGGCAGCCCAAGGGTTCCAAATGTTGCTGAGAGCTGCCAAAAAAGGCCTTGAGGGCTGCATTGGATCACCCTGTCCTAGACCAACCAAGCAGCCAGCAAGTAATAAAACTACAAGTACTGCCATTATGCCATGGAGGGTTATCTGGCACAGCCAACAATTCTACAGCAGAGCTTTACTCATCTCACCGGTCCAGTGAAATACTAAATAATAATAATAATAATAATAATAATAATAATAATAATAATATTTATACCCTGCTCATCTGGCTGGGTTTCCCCAGCCACTCTGGGCGGCTTCCAACGAAGTATTAAAATACAGTGGTCTATTAAAATACACTGATCCACTATAACATTTGTGTAAACATACACCAAGATAGAATTGCTAGTGTCTCCCCTTAACATGACACATGATGAACCTGGTATAAGAAACAATCCCATACTGTTTCTACCAGGAATGAAAATTTAAGATTCCCTTTTAATTCAAATCCCCTCAGGAGCTTAACACTGAGTCTCTGTGATAGCTTCTCAATTTAAAGCAGAACATATTGCAACTGAAGTATTTTCAGAAACAAATCCAAGGCTTCTCCCCCCTCCACGCAATACTGTTAAGAACGTGTGTCAAAGTATTATTATTATTTTACTTTCCAGAAGGAAAATTGGTTGGCAATGTTAATGCCTCCAATGCTTACTCCTAAGAATTATCTTGAAAGGCAGTATTTTTATAGCCAGAGCGACAGATCAGTCTATTTCTGGTCCTTGCCAGTTTTACATGTGTTTACTCATAAGTCCATTCAGTTTTGTTTCTGCATTAAGTTGATGGGAGTGGGGTGGGGGAAATGTATTTAAATACAACAGGGTGCAGAACCGTTTTCTGAAGGCCACAGTTCCATCTTAGTAGCCTTCAGAGATGTCACACGTGGGGCAGTGTCAGAGGCAAAAGTGGGTAAAGCAGCAAATGTAACTTTTACCTTTGTACAGTAGACTACTTTCTTGACACAGACCCTTTATCTAGGCAACCAAGGGGCATTAACAGAGTTCAAGGATACATTTCACCCAGGCTAAACACACAAGGTGGATGTAAAGGAGGGATAGTGAGTAGTTTGGTCTAGGGTGAATACCAAGGGGTCAGACAAAGAGGGCTGGAGGGGCAGATTGGGCCCCTAGGATTACAATTCCCAGTCCCTGAAATATGGATAGTTATAATATTATGTGCTTTTTTCCACAAAGAATGTACGTTATCCCAATGTATTAATTTCTAAACAAGTTTTGTCCTAAAATGAGCATTTCTAACATGTTTTTGTATTCTTTTGAGCCATGAAACAATTTGCAAAAGAAGTGTAAAATGTATAGGTTAATTAGGTACCAATCTGTGTATTAGTCTGGGAGGTACAAATGAAGACCAAACAAAACTCTCCTCCATACATATATAGCAGGGGTGGGGAACCTCTGGTCCATGGGTCAAATCTGACCCACCAGTCCTCCTCATCCGGCCCACAAGGCCATTTCCCTCCAACCACACTCACCTGTGGACAACCGCCTGTCAAAGTTAGTCCACAGGGTGGAGCAGATAAAAGATGTAGATTCTAGGCTCCTAGGCCTAAAAGGCTCTGCTATACAGCAGGCACGTCCAACTGGTCGATTGCAAGCTACCTGTCAATCGTGGGGTGTCCCTGCTCGATTGCGTGCTTCTTAATCTCTCCCCCCCCAAATAAAATACAAAGAAAGATCAACAACTTTGGGTCCCCCCAAAAAAGCTTTTTAATAGTGGGTGTAGATCACTGTCGCTTGCAAGTTGGACATGCCTGCTATATAGGATCTATCCAGTTCCACAAGTAAGCATTAACCCCTGCACCCTGGAGCAAGTGGCCTTTACAACTGTACGCCTAAGGCCTAAGAACAAAACTGCAGAAAGGCTAATGCAAACACATCCCACTAGGCCTTTGAAAGTGGAGAAACAGACATATTTCAAGGGGCATGTTGTCAGCGAATGATGCTTACAAATTTGACCCCTGGGCATTACTAGATAATAGTGTTTCTAATTGTAGCTGTTTGTTTTAGTTAGTATAACTTAGTCTTCATTGTGCAATTTTAGATTTGTAATTGTGAGCCACCACATGAAAACACAGCAAAAATGTATTAAAGAAAAATACGAGGATCAGCTGTTGCTGAGCTCTTGGCACACACACATCTACTGCTTCCACGTATGGAAATTTTAGGTTTGGAGCTCTGTATGGTAGATCTGTCATCTGAAACAGTATCTCTTCATGACAATATAGATGAACACAGTGGAGTCCAAATGAAGCAGTGATTTTTATTTTATTTTAATAAGGTATAGTAGAGGGGGGATATTTTAGACAGAAATAAGACTTTGTCAGAATACAGGATGACTGGTGGCTGTGTCCATTAGTTTTAGCTCTCACAATCATTGCTCTTGAAAATTAATTGTCAGTCTTGAATTATGGCAGTGTTGAATTAAAAGTAGGGAAAGGGGTTTTTTAAAGAAATCCATGAGGGCAACTCTCCCCAATTTTAGCCAAGCCATGCCTTCACAGTCTTTTTAAAACAGTAGTGCAACAGCCATCACAGAAGTTAAACAGGAAGATTTCACTGTAATTCAAATATTGATTAGTACTTTGGTATTAAGGAAGATCCTGAATGCAAAACAAGAAGCCAGGTACTCAAAATAAACTGTTCCAATGACATAGCTGCCTAGAGCAATTAAAGCACAGACAGATACAGAGGTCAGCGAGAACTGGAAAAGGGCTCATGACAGAAGTTGGCAGTGTTGATAATATATCCCGCCTTATCTCCAAGGAGCTCAAGGAGTTCTCCCCCTCCCCAATTTTATGCTCACAACAACCCTGTGAGGTAAGTTAGGCTGAGGATCAGTGGCAGGCTAAAGCTCACCCAGGGAGCTACATGGTTGAGTGTGGGTTCGAACTCTGGTCTCCCATGTCCAGCAGCCCAACCACTATACGACACTGTCCCTTTCAAGCAAATATAGCAAGGACTGAGACTCCACCTCCCTTTTTCTGCATGGCTGGAAGTGGCTCATAGCAGCATAAGACTTGATGCCAAAATACTTAGGAGTCTGTTATACAGCAAGCACTCTTTTCTGCATGGTCAAATAGAATGTTAAGGCAACACCCTTATGCCAATACATTCACAAAAGAGTCATGAGCCTATCAAGACAGAACAAGATCTCCCAACAAGTTTTCCATTGGAAAAACATATATACTTCTATTCTAAACACTGTATTACCAATGGCAACTGAGAGCACTTAATGTCTTGTGTCACTTATGCAAAATTAGCATGAGTCATCCACCTCTGGACATTACTTGACTTCATTCATTGGCACTTTTCTACTTAAGCAGAAATATTTAACTTGGAAACCTTGAATAGTTACTGAAGTCAATTGACTCTCATTTGTTTAAACTTCTAAGGATGATAAGGAGGAGGAGAGAGATCAATGTGTTAACAGTCCCTAGAACATAACCTATTTTAAGTTGACCCCAGCCAGAATCATACTTTCATGGATCATGGATCTGTGTTAGCCAAGATAAACATTGAAATTATTCTTTAGATGCAAGGGAGAAAGATGAATCAACTTCAAGTCAGAACTCAGGCAACAGTTTAAAGACAAAACAGAGCCACTTATATATAAAGTTATGCTTCTACATACTTGGAGCCCCCTAGGAATGCAAAAGTATGTAAATTTCTAAAGTAAAACTGAATTTTTTTGGCATGCCACTGACAGTGGAGCTTAGATGAAAAAGAAAAAAAGGGCTAAAGAAAACTCAGGCATGCAATGGTTGAGATAAAGACTTATCAGGATGTCAGTTGGGACTCAGCTACATTGGCAAAGGTAAATAGCTTTATATGCATTGTATATGCATTATAACGGGATGCGGGTGGCGCTGTGGGTTAAACCACAGAGCCTAGGACTTGCTGATCAGAAGGTCAGCGGTTCAAATCCCCGTGACAGGGTGAGCTCCCGTTGCTCGGTCCCTGCTCCTGCCAACCTAGCAGTTCAAAGCAGGTCAAAGTGCAAGTAGATAAATAGGTACCGCTCTGGCGGGAAGGTAAATGGCGTTTCCGTGTGCTGCTCTGGTTCGCCAGAAGCAGCTTAGTCATGCTGGCCACATGACCCGGAAGTTGTACGCCAGCTCCCTCGGCCAGTAAAGTGAGATGAGTTCCACAACCCCAGAGTCCTCTGCGACTGGACCTAATGGTCAGGGGTCCCTTTACCTTTATAACACTGCGACACCATATGGCGCTGTGGAGTTCCTTTTTTTGCCAACCCAATTTCTCATACAAAGTTTAACTGAAACTCTTCTTTGATTTGTCTAGATCCAGCCTTGAAAAGAAATCCCCCACCAAATGGAATATGGAAGGCAGGATGAGAGAGGAAATCAATTTGCTCAGCACTGCACATCTTTTATCTATTGCCTGGGCAGGGAGGGGGAGGATTGGAATTGGGGAGATGCATGCTGATATATCCTCTCCAGTCCTATAGTATGATGATTGAGTCTCTAGAGCTGATTGCTGCCCCCACTATATAGCTGGAAAATGCTCGGGTTGCAGGTGGTGGCACCCCGACCTATATGACACAGTAAGTCAGGGCTGGCAAAGGAATAGTATAGTGTTGATTATCCTTCCCCAACTCCTGAAACTCCCTCTCCCCACCTGCACTTCTCTTAGGAGTGGGGATGCAATGGAACATTGTTCTGCAGGCCCCACTTGATTCCCCATTTTAGCATCTTGTTCAATTTAGCAGTGTAGCAATTCATATATATTACTCTGGAAACAAATTGTATTATAGCTCATATTTTTAGTTCATTCAGTAAGGTGCAAGAATCCAACTGGACTGCATAATTTGAGACTTGATATAACAGTAGGACTGACACTATTTCATGCATAAGCATTTTGCAGCTAACAAAGCATATTTTCTTGTAAGCACTTTTACTTGGATTATACAGTAGATTCTGCCCTTGAAGCAATTACGCAGCTGTTGCTGTGCACCACTTCCCTTACTCCAGAGCATTTCTAATGATTCAATGAGCACTTTGGCAGGGTAGCCAATGTGGTGACTTTCAAGTGTTATAGACTCCAACTCCCATTAGCCTTAGCCAGCATGGTCAAGGGTCAAGGTAGTCATACTGCACAAAATCTGGAGGGAACGACACTGGCTACCACTGAGTTATTGGTTACAGGCAAGTGTCCTTAGAAGTCATAATCTGATTCCATGCAGTTAGGTATACATAAGCCCATTTAAGCTTTTAAGCGTGCCTAATTCTGCATAAAACCAGGCCTTTTGGTGCAAAAGTAGCAATTTCCATGCACCTGCTACAGAATATCACACAAGGTAGTTTGTCACTGTTTATGCACCACATCTTGGATGTCTTTGAAGCTTTTACCATCAGAGTAGCATGAACCTTTCCATAACTGGTCTGAATTAAAAGATTTATGAATGAAAGTATTATGGTCCCTTCCAACTCTACAATTCTATGACTATGTCTTGTTGTCCACTGTAACACTGCCCTCTCACCTTTGCATTAGTTTTTTCTGTTTTTGTTTAATTTGGACCAATGCACCCACAGACGCATTCACCTCCACTTCCCTCACTAATTTAATCTGCTGATTTGTCAGCAGGAGCGCAGGACTTCCTAATCCTCTCTTTTTCAAGCGCAATTACATAAATTCAGCACTAAGAAAGCACAAGCCTAAAATTCAAGGAGGCTGAATTACATAGACTAGTCCCAGGGCATTAAGGCTCAAAAGGGGGAGACAGGACAGAACAGGTCTTGCTGCTTTTTTGTGTCCTATTCATACTTACTCAGGATTACGCCCCATTTCTTAGGTTGATTTCATAGGACTGCTATCTTAGCTCTGGTACTTGTTCCATCACATATACCATACAACAGACAATGCCAACAGTTGCTATTTAAATTGATTTGGCATTTTGTTTACATTCACCACACAGTACCATTGGCTGAAGTAAATGAAATGCAGACAAATGTTGAGAGGTTAAAGAAATACTCCTTTCACATGAGCTAGCTACCTTTCTACCTCTGTTTTAAAGGTACCTATACCGTGCACTTGTTACAGCTTGAGTTTCTAAGAAGAATTTCAGGAATTCCTACATAGATAAAAACTATTTCCCCAAGTGTCTTGGGTATGCCTTAATTCATAAACTCATGACTCAAGAACTCTGAATTCTGTTATTAGAATATTCTTACAACTCTTCAAAATCTGTCACTTGACTGTATCATTATAAGCAACAGCATCCTTTCAGCTATAAACTTTATTTTGAACAAGCACATACTATTTAGAAACAGCAGGTTTCCTCCCTAGTCCTTTTTCTCTATCTAAACTTAAACCTCCGTCTTTATAGATCCTATCTACTAATATAGTTTGCAACATGCCTTACCAGAAAAGCTACTGCCCCACATCTGCTTTACACAGGTCTTGTTTTATAAAGCAACAGGAGAACCATCACCCCTTGCTTAAATTACTGTTAGCTCTACTACTAAAACAAACATTTAGAACACGTGCATTCAGAAAAATCAGGTGTCCAGATAAAGGCTGCAATCATAAGGCTCCTTACTAAGGAATAAGGACCACTGAACTTGGTGGGACCTCCTCCTAGTAAGTACGTATGCACAGGATTGCGAGGAAAGAATAATAGTGTTGTGACTCCTAACCACTGATTTATAAATCTACTAATACTAAAACCTTAGCTGTACTGTCAAGCGTCCCAAAACAGACTTCAAAGCATGAATAAATTTATTTGGAGAAAGTAGGGAAGATCGTGCTTCATTCTTAACTGCTATTCTATCAATGAGATGACAGATGGTTCTCCTAGTAGTAATAATCAAATCACTTTTATTTGGAAAGGCCGTACAATCAAAATAGATCTTCACTTAGAAGACACCAACTTCTGTATTGCAGAGCTTGCTTTCTGCACCACTTTTCAATTGACAAATCATGTCACTAAACAAGCAAATGTTAAACCCCAGCCTAAAGAAGAATGTGCAGGGGCAAGGTCTGTTTTTCTTACCCTTCGCTACCGGCTTAAGATTCTGCGCTACGCGGCCAGGCCAGGCCAGGCCAAGCTAAGATAAGCTAAGCAGAATTCCAAATGAAATAAACTCTCTGGCGCGGTTCTAGTGCTTTTACATGCAGCCTCGGCCACGCTACTAGTGAAGTCAGAGAAACACACTGGGAGCACACATGGGCAGCCGCAACTTCCTCGCACCTTTCCCCACCCCCGCTTTTGCTATCCCGGCTTATTGCAAACGCAGAGACGCCACCTAGCGACCGGACGGCGGCACTTCCACCTAGCCCTCTCGCGCCGCCGCCGAGGCTCGCGCTCTCTCGCACAGCTGCCTGCTGCACAAGGCCCAGCCCAGCAAAGTCGAAGCACAACAAAATGGCGGCTGACCGCCGCGTCACGTGACCCCCTTTGTGCCTTTCGGGGGGCTGAAGGGAGCCGAGCCGGAGGCCTCGGCGCTCCAGCCCAGAGCGAAAACGAGCCTCGGCCGGGTGGGGTGGGGGCTCCCGGAGGGAAGGCGACGGGGCTGTTGAGGGACTAACGTCGCCCTCTTCCCTCCCCCCCCCGCACACCCGGGGGAGGGAAGCGGGAGGAAGCGGGGAGAAAATGGCGGCCATTTTGTGCTTGCGCAGAGGCGATGGTGGGGGCCCGGGTGTGGGGCGATGGCGGGGCCCGGCCGGAGCAGGGATGGGAGGGGGTCTCTCACGTACCGACTCCTCTTCCTTCTCCATGCCCGTGGGCATCTGCGGCACGGCCCGGTTGATGGAGGCATACTCGGCTAGGTCGGGCAAGTCCTCGCAGCGGAAGACGGGAAGCGGCTTAGACGCGTCCAGCGCCCGGGCCCGAAACGACAGTTTGCTCATGTTAGTCGTCGGCGGCTGCGACTGCTATGGCGGCTGCTGCTCCAGCTGAGGGGGGGGAGGCAGCGAGAGCGCTCCGAGCTGAGAGCCGGACCCCGCCGAGCGCTCTCATGGAGGGACCGGGGCTCCCGCGGCGGGGCGGGGCTCGCTCCGAGGCGGGTCCCAGCGGCGCCGGCTGGCGCGGCTAGGCTAGGGCGCCGATTTCTCTCCTCCGCCGCTCCGGCTCTGCTCAATACGCCACGGCCAACATGGCGGACATTAAACCTCGACTGGCCGCCTCTTTCAGCCAACCCCAGCGCCACAGCCATTCCCACACTGCATCGCGCAAAGGCGCGGGCACGGCGCTGCCGGGGGGGGGGAGAGAAGGGGCGCGCGGCGCGTGCACGGAGGCGAACGAGCGGGAGCGCTCGGGTTTCCCCCCCACTTTTTTTTTTTACTGCTTCTGCTCGGGGATGATGATGAAGAAGAAGGTGGTCCCGTCTTCGTTCCCCAAAGCTGTCACTGCTCGGGACTCTCCTTCATTGTGATGCAGCAGCAGCAGCACAGAAGCCGACCCAGCCGCACGCAGTTCCCTCGCACCACGCCGGAGACTGGGGAGAGGGGAGGGACGGCGCCGACGCCTGGAGGAAGGCACGAGGCGGCCGGGGATGCCTCAACCCCAGCGAGGCGTTAAGGAGGCGAAGAGCCTCCCCTCGGCACCGGGCGGGCTGCTCCGCGCTGAGGGCGGCATGGCACACGGCGAGGCACGGGCTCCCGGCCAGGAGCAAAAGGGCACAACACCCAATTTCTCTGTAATTATTTCGGCTACAGGGCCCGGGCTAAAAAAATACCCCAAACCAAACAGCAGCAGGACTCGCCTCCCCTGTATTGTCGCTAAACCATAATTTATCTACACACTCCACCGAGTCACTTTGTTCTTTACTCTGGAAGACCGGGGCTCTGTGACATCAAAAAATTCTATAGAATTGACTGGGAATTGGGATGGATGTGCATATTATACACAGTTATTTGGAACGTTTAGTCTGAAATTTTGAACTTAAACCATTTCCCTAAATTTTTTGTTCACCACACACACACTTTTTAAAGAATGCACCAGGGATGAGTGAGATGTATACAACAGAACATGCACCTTGGAAAATTTTGCCACCACCTTCCGTGTTAACAACATTGAAGCCCTTGCTTTGTAATGGCTTGACTGTGAGATATAATTTTTTTTTTGCTACTAACTGCATCAAATTATACAGCAGCACTTCTTAAGCTTTTTGAATTTGGCTACATTTTAAACTTCTCCTTCCTTCAGCCGCCCCCAATTGGCTAGCTGTCACAGGTTTTGACAAGTGAGTGCATGGGATTCTCACACAGCTGCCTAGAAGTACCGGTACCTGCTGCATCCCTCACTTAACAGTAGCATACTTTAAGTAGTTATAGGCTCCACACTTCAAAAACGTAATTTCCCGAATGTAGATACAGCATGCAAAGGTGTCAATGAGATTTGCTCCCATCTAGTCTTCTCTTCAACATCCTAACTTTCTATGTGAAGGAATGTTTGTTATTGGGGACATCTTTCATCATAGTGCACCTGAAACAGTACAGTCTAGTAGTTGTGAAAACCAAAGACCACCAGCCTTTTTCCTAAATCAGCCAGCCAGGAAAGGAGGCAAGATGGGAAGAAGCTGCTATAACAGAACACAGTCTGTGCTTCTTTGCAGCTTTCGTAATTAAAAAGCAGTTTGGATGGCTGTAATAGTAAATATTTGCAGTATCTTCCCTTCCCAACTTTTCCAAAATTTTACATTTTCTTCTGAGTGTTGGACATTCTGTTTGGGTTGACTGGAGAAGGGAAATCTATCTCATACTGGCCTAAGGAATTTGGTATTTATTGTAACATTAAAAACTACTTTACAACTTAAGCAATAGTCATTGTAGACCCTTAAATACTGTGAGGGCAAAGGTTAGATGCAGTAAATTAACAGAAAAGTAGGTATAAATACTAAATGTTTTAGAAGACACTAGGAAGACATGAAGGCCAAGTGGTATAAAACACAACCACTCACTATCTGTGCAAGGCTACAAATGTACTAATAGCCATGTGATTTCTTCACATGCAAGCTACCAGCTATCGTTCAAAGTGCAATAAATAAAACCCGTTCAACAGGTTGAACAGATTTGGGGGAATGCTTTAGGTGTCAACAGATGGTCACCTATCAGGACCCACTGGTTTGTTTTCAGACCTTACTTGAATACTCTCTTTTTTCACATTTGATCTGGAGCCTTCAATTACATTCTGCAGTCATTTGCACTGAAACACTTTCTGCATGGATTGCAAGACCACAGCAAACAGGAATACAGTCGTACCTTGGTTTTTGAACAGCTTAGTTCTTGTTTTGGCTCCTGAACGCTGCAAACCTGGAAGTGACAGTTCCAGTTTGTGAACTATTTTTTGAAAGCTGAACGTTTGACAGGAATTTCAATTAGCTGCAGGAGCTTCCTGCAGCCAATCAGAAGCCGTGCTTTGGTTTCTGGACGTTTTGGAAGTTGAACGGAGTTCCAGAACGGTTTCCGTTTGACTTCCAAGGTACGACTGTACTGCAGACTTGGAGCGTTTGGAGAGCTCAGCACCTTTGCTTTAAGGAGCAGCTGCATGTACAGAATACATATTCTTGGGAGGGGAAGTTGTTCTGCTATCACTCTGTGGGGGTGAACTGCACCAAATGATGCATACAAATTTTCCATGAATAACACCAGTGATGGAAGGGGAGGGGAAATCTTTAACAGGGTTTATCTGGCACATATTTAAGTCATAAATTCAGCAAGTGTTTTATGAAAAAATAAAATGGCATTTCATATACTTTAATAACATCACAAATATACAAAAGTCATGCCCCCCTCACTTTTTGCTAAATTACAATCTGGCACTATGGATATCTACTTGGGAGTTCAGTCAAATAATATATAAAATTTCTGTCTTAGCAAGCAACAGTTTTTTTTGAGAAATTCGTATTATTTTGCATATTGCACGACATTTTCTCCAGTGGGAAGCTAAACTCTTTCAGCACAATCCTGTGCATGTTTGCTCAAACGAAGAAATCTAACAGAGTTCAGTGGGATTTGCTCTCAAATAACTGAGCGTAGGACTGCAGCTCAAAGTACAGGTAACTCTGCGAGTCTGTTTTGTGGATTATAAGGAAATGCTACATGGCATGGCTTCTCTCTCCAGCTCTTCCTTAGAGTGTTTGTGCTGCTCTTTCTTGGGCTAGGCATATGTACAGGCACTACACTTACAGCTGTGCAGAGGAAGTGTGCTGAGCGGTTAATGCAGTTATGAGCGAGGGTATAGCTAGGGATAGGATGAGTTTCCACCATGCTTTTTCTGAGCAGCATTCGGAGGCTACAAACAGCCCCATTCCACACAAAGTTCTAGTGGTGCTGGACCCAACAATCTATCGCAACATAGATTATGATATATTGTTGAGTGACCATAAAGAACTTCTAAAGTGCAGCACATAACATTCGCGGGACATCACTACAACTTAGGAGACGCATGCCAGGCATGCCTGGAGTCTGGTGTGAAATACCATCACACATAGATAGAAGACATTGGGGGAGGACCATAATGTCACGGTCTTCCATGAGGATCTAGGGAAGAAGCTGGTTGTATCAGCTGAGAATCTGTAGCCATTACAACAAGCTCCCGTGTTGGGCGGAGGGCCCTTTTTAAGAGGAGGTATAGATGTGAGACAACAGAGATTGTTCCAAAGAACATACAACATGGGCCCTCCTTGCTTTCTTTCCCGGGAATATTGCTTTAGGTTGGGCATCCCTATTTCCTTACACTCAAATTCCTTTTGAGCATTACCAGCCACATCACCCTGGCAGGAAATATGGAATGCCCAAATAACACAGGTACAATCATAGATGCTTGCAGTGTAGAGGACCCTGGTTTGGAGAGTCAAACCAGGGAAAGTAAAGCACTTCAGGACTTGGAAGAAGCCGCCACTTTCTGTGAAGCCAAAGAAGACCTCAAAACTTTTCCTGCTTTTGATAATGATGGCAATGAAGGTGCAGCAGCTCCAGCTCCTGCAAGAGGTTGTATGACAAGGTGATCACCAAGTGCATTCCCCTTTGAAGAGCCAGGTCAGCTTTCCTCCAACGAAGATGAAGAGCAAGGCGATGGAAGATCTAAGCCATGAATCTCCAGATACGTTTAGTCAAGCAGAATCTACTGCAAGCTTTGTTGGGGCAGCTGGTTCATAATCTTCAGAAGTTCCTGTGTACAGCAGCTCCTTGGAGGCTGAAGTGGCCGGTTCAGAAGAATTTCCTCTATATGGTTACTTCCAGGAGGCTATGGTGAACCCAGCCATCTCAAGCACCATTGTTCACCCTAATGCACCTTTGGCCTTTTCTTCCACTACTGAACATTTAGCTTCAATCAGCAGCCCTGTACCTGCATCACACTTTCCAGTACAGCCAGCCTTCATACCATCTTCTACATCAAGTCCAGATGTATTTATTCCTGTGCAATCCCTGTGCCAACAACCTTCTGTTCTATCTGATTGTGTTGCTGGGTACAGAGAGGGAGTTGTTATTCCTCCCTACTCCTGGCCCCCAAACACATGTGACTTGCCCAAGAACCTGAGAGTAGTGCAGTTCTTCTATAATAAAGACATTCAACATTATCCCCAGAACTGCTCGATTCCTGTGATGTGCATCACTCCATCCAACAAGCAGTTTTCATCCAGTTGGTGCATCTGCACCTGGGGCACACACTGAAGCTGCAGTATCCTTTTCAGAACCGTAAGTTCCTGTTCATAGTCAAGAACCCCAGAAGCCTATTTTTGTACCATAGCATGGAGCCCACTACCAGTTAGTGCATTTGTACCCTGATCCTTCCCCCTTGGAGTATGCTGTGCCGTTCCATGTGGTCAGATCCAGTGCACTGCATGGTGCAGCTAGCTGTCTGTAAAAGAACAATTTTCTAGTTGCCAAGCATTCCTGTGTTTCTTTTTCCTTTTTTCATGTTTCATTTGACACAATGATTTGTTATATAGAGGAGGGGGAAGTCTGTATATTGGGGAGAGGGGTTACTACACTGCACATAGCATGCTCTCCACATAAAAAATAGATTTATAAATTAAAAAGCTGTTCTCCTTTGCGTATGATGACAGCAAGATGGAAGAATTTCCAAAGCATTATTTTGGTAGTAGTGAATTATGTCAAAATGGTACTGCCTTGCCTTTTGACTTATGTGTTTTTAAGTCGCAGCAAAAAGCTGGAATGTACTTTAATGAAATGACTGCTTTTTGTATACTATTGTATTATGATGTTCCTGGGAAGAAAGACTGGCTGTGAATTGGGTCATACATACAAATACACTGTCTTGCCAACTAAGGCCAACACTTCTTTCTTCAAAAACAGACCGAAAATCTTGACACATACTTAACACATTTTCCAAATGTAAACACTGTAGGACATACAAGCAGACACATCTTGTTTCAATCCCATTTTATAGTAAAAAGGGCATGAAGCTGCCCAGCAGAACCTCTCATTTAGTACATTTCTATCCCACCCTTCTTCCATCAAGGAACTGAAGGTGATGCATGTAGGATCTTGGGTGGTCTCTCATCCAAACTGAGTAGACTAAGATCTGCTTTGCTTCAGCAAAGTTCCTGTGCCTAAGACCATGTGCCTGGGATATACTAGTATTTACACTATGCTAGGCAGAATATGATCAAAATAATGAGCTCAGAAACACTGAAATGAAAAGGAACAGGATTTGCAAGGCAGGACCAAAAGACTGCAGATATATGCAGAAATTCTAGGAAAGCAAGTTCTAGGGTTATTCAAATGCTGTTACCGAACAGAAAGTTACACACAAGACATATCATATCATATAATCAGAGATGTAGGGTGTGTGAGGGCCTGTAAAGAATATTACATCTTTTGCAAGATTTGTATTAATTTCACAATTTTACAGCATTAAGTTCTTACAACAAGTGGCAATGGCTACTACCTTAGATGGCTTTTTAAAAGGATTAGAGAAAATCAGAGAGGATAGTCTATCAACGTGTATTAACGATAAAAGCTAAATTGACTCCCCATGTTCAAAGGCCGTCTCTCTGAATACAAACTGCTGAGACCAAATAGAGGATAGCTATTAACTTCATGTCCTGCTGTTGAGCTTCCTGGCAGTCTCTGATTGGCTGCTATTGAGAAAATGCCAGATTAGCTGGAGTTCTGGTCTGAGCCAATGGCCTATTTTTATACAAAATGGGGATAAGACCACTGGCTATTATATGGTAAGTTTAGGTTGAACCAAAGAAAGGAAAGGCCTTTGTAGAGTTTGCAAAGGCTTTGCAAGGGACTTACAACATGCTGTGGCGTCTCCATCAGGGTTCCAGACAGCCTGCTATGCCCTCTCCTAGGACACTCCATTCAATTCCTTTGCTTTGCTCACAGAAAAGCAACATTCAGTGGTACTACTGTGTAGGCTCAGTCCTCTTTAGGATGATTTTTTTGAGGAGGGGGAGTCACTTCCTTAGGCTACCCCCTTAAAATTATCCCCTGTGGTTCTCCAGAGCCTGCCAATACATCCCTCTTGTTTCTCAGAGGCTCCAATTTGGAGTCACCTCTGATAGCATTTATCCACTGAGTTTACGATTAGAGGGAGTTAAGGAGGCGAGGAAACCAAAAGCGGGTAGGGAGGATAGGAAACAAAAATGTGTGGATGTTTTGCATCCATATTGAACTTTAAAATGAGTTTATGCCATGTCTGAATATCCTCTCTGGACATCTGTTACATAACTGACTCAAACCTTGGTTGAATGAAAATGTATTCATCCAACCAGGAATTGGGAATATCAACACCATATTCAATGTGAGAGGTCAACACTTCTTCCTCTTACTTTGTCATTTCCTTTTTCTTAAGGTTAGCTGAAATGACATGAAAGAATATTCAATCATTATATTTTTGCTGTCATCAAAGAAGATGGCCATAGATGGAATTAAACCGATTAGGGAAATATTCCCCTGTTTCTAACAAATCAACCAGTTCATTAAGGGTTTTTGTAAACAAGTCTTCTGTCTCCTAGCTTTCCCTCATTTACTTCCCAATTAGTTGGCCCAATTTTCACATGAATTCATTATAATGGATGCTCAGTCAGTTTAAAGAATTAGGCCACTTTCATGTATGGCAGGAGCTTAAAAAATGTATTATGTCTTTCAAGTATTAACACTCCTGAAAATACATCACAAAGGGACACTGCAAACAGAGCTCTGTGGAGAAGGAGGATATCTAGGGCTTTTTATTTTTCTATATCCCATCCTACTCCCAGTTATTTACCCAGGAAGCGGGATTTTTGTGTATAAATATCTTCCTTGCTTTATTCAGAATTTCTACATAACATGGATTTTTAATAGCAAAGAATAGTGTGCTGTCCAGGTGGAATTGTAGGAAGAAGGACAAGAGGGGCTTATGGGCAGGCAACCAATTTCTAAGTCAGAATCAATGGACTAATAGCAGTACAAGTCACAGGCTCCCTGAACCAGCAAGATTTTCTGCAGACTTTGTAAGTCTTGCCGTGGAGATACAAAATTGTCCTTTAAAAAAACAATCAGAATCTGTAGTGCATTGATCTACTGTACATTGCTCCACAAGATTCTGTAGTTAATGGAAATATGGAAGAAGAAAATATAATCAAGCTCCTTACATAGTACTTGATTACCTGCAAGATTACCAGCAATTAAAAATATCAAAGCATTTCACGCTTTTATTTTAACTCGTTTAACCTAAAAACACACACAAGCACTTGAGGCCCTTTGAATGTGAACATTCACATTCACAATGGGTTATTTTCCTTCTACGTTTGCAGCCATCTTAAAGACTATACAAAATTATTCAAGGTAGTTAAGTGGAAGCTGACTAGAAAGTGTCATAGAATGATCTCACATAACCAAGTGCTTAGAGAATAAAATGTCATATTGCCACACAGTGTTGATAGGTATGAAGTTAAATTTACTGAGGAAACATTTCCTTACTGCATACGACACTATGGTCACAAAAGCTCCTAGAATTCAAGAGAGCCCTGTTTCTCTCCTCCACCCACTTCTCTCTCTCTCTCTCTCTCTGTGTGTGTGTGTGTGTGTATGGAGACACTCACCAGGACAGCCTAGAGCAATGGCCTTCAAATGCAAGATCTACCTCTAATTCACAATTTATAACATGGGACCCAATTTCACATTTGAGTTATAATTAATAATGCACATTATTAATCCTAAAATTGCAATTCACCATAGCAATACTTCCAAATGAAAAGCAGTTATTTCTGCACTTAATCTTAGCTGAGAAGTGAATTGTAGGAGAAGTCTAGAAAGCCATGAAATAGACTAGAAAGTGAACTGAGTGCCCCTGCTGCTCCATAGAGAGGTCCCTCACTAGAGGCATAGATATAGAAAGGTGGGACATGTGGTTGGCCAGAAATATGTATCTTATTTAAAAATGGTTCAGGCCTTTCTCCTGCCACATTTCAGCCCTCATGAAAAATTATAAAATAAGTGTCTCAACATGTCCTAGCTCAGACCCCCCTTGTACTGCTTCCTTTGGGCTAGTCAGCCGTAGATGGAATCCAATATGGCAGCAACAACTTTGCTACGTCCCACCTATGGGTCCTGACCCTCTGGCTGAAGACCTACGGCCTAGAGAAGTAGAGGTGTGCCTACAGTATGGATACAGAATAGCCTCTGTGCATAGAAAGTCTAAGTCTGCAATCCTATATATGTTTACCTGGAAGTAAATCCCAATGAACACAGTGTGGCTTAGTAGTAAGTAGACAACACGTAGGATTGCACAGCAAGGCTCTTCAGCTTAGAAACATAATAGCACAATGGGTTATAGTAGAGAAACATTAATGAGATGAATGCAAACAGACCTGCAATATATCTTATTCTTGTAACTTAACTATGAGCTACTCAATTAAATTATCCAGTATCATTAGTCAAACCAATGCCCTGGGCAACACCTGATCCTCTGGCTGCTAAATCCTGAGAAAGGGTAAAGCCTCTTGTAATTTACCTTTTCTTCATCTCCTGCAAGTAAGTCTGCACTTACTCTCAAATACCTAGGACTAACCACTGTCAAGCTTAGGACAGGATAAGATATTCTTTTCCTTGCCACTTTCTGTCCCACGCCTCAAAACAGATGCAAAATGTGTGTTTTAGCAACACAACCATTACTTGAAAGTAACTTGCATAGATTCAGACCTTACATACTCATCATTATCCAGAACTAGTTCATCTTCAGAAACAGTAGCAAGTGTAAGTTTATCTTTGTACCAGCTGAGTGATGAGCAAAAACAAACTTGGTATCTTAGACCAGGCAGAGGCAAACTCAGCCCTCCAGATGTTCTGGGACTACAACTCCCATCAACCCTAACTAACAGGACCAGTGGTCAGGGATGATGGGAGTTGTAGTCCCAAAACATCTGGAGGGCCAAGTTTGCCTATGCCTGTCTTAGACTAAGCAAACGATCTTCAACTATTCATAGATATCACTCATTCATGTCTTGCTCAGGGCTTATTTTCTAAGAGCTAAAGTAGCAGGGTTCAAATTTGTCTCAAAATAGTCACATCCACTGATCACAAGCTTTACTCCATAATTCTAGATGTGTATAGGCTGTTTTGTGGTTATTCAAATGGAAAGGCAAAGCCCTCCCATTCAGCGAAAATGCTGAAACTTCTCCTTCCTGGTCTTACCTCCTACAATATCTCCACATAATTCAGAATATCTTCATTAAGCTAGTATTCTCCATAACTATACACAAGGTCACCTCTTAGCTCAGACCCTTACATCAGCATGCTTTTATTTAGCTGTCAAGTTTCCTCTAGATTGCCACTTCTCTGTCTTCTGTTATATGGTCTCTATTGTTGCTTTGCGCTGCACAAAGTCATTCACTCAGGGGTCCTTGCATTATGATTTTGAAGGTACCACTCATACTTTCTGTCATGTTTCGTATGCTGAAGAAAGAGTGCCCACCTCATCTATTCAGGAAAGTGTTAAACTCCTTAAACTCTTTTTTTCTGAACTGCCCTAGCATCATATCAGCTCTTGCATTGCCTTAGGAATCTCCCTTACCCCAATCTCACTACTCATTGTCATACTGAAGACTCCCTTCCTTCATTATTGACTTCGCTAGCATTGGCACCATGTCCATTATATTCTGTAAAGAACTTAGCACATGGCCAGTAGTAGACAGAGTCACTGTAAATTTATTGTCTGCGGCAACGAAGAATTGGTAACAGGCAACCAAGTAAAAAATGATTTGTAAACTGTGGCAGTTGGGCTTCCTTCCATCTATACGCCATCAGGGTGCCACAAAACAACCACAAGCTGCTTCCTCCAAGAAGGTCAAGAGCACAATTTTAACTTTACAACAACCCTCTGAAGTTAGGCAGAGGAAAGTGGCTCACCTAAGGGCACTCAGTCAGCTTCATAGTTCAACAGAGGTTTGAATCCATGCTTCCCATGGATTCAACAAAATGGTGCAGGGTGGTAACTTCTGTGGGCTTATTTGCAAGGTTGACTTACAGTAATCTAAATAGATACTATAAAAATGCACAAATGTATAAGCTGCATAAGTAATAAGATTTCCCTTCCAGCTACAGTGGCAAGAAAATCTAGTTTGGCACACAGCTCATGCCACTTGGCACCAGCAAACTACACCTAAAAGGGGTGTAGCAATACATCATAGAATCATAGAGTTTGAAGGGACCCCGAGGGTCATCTAGTCCAACACCCTGCAATGCAAGAATCCTGCCCACAGCTGTCCCTGGGTGGGTTCTAACCACCAAACTTCTGGTTAACAGTCAGATGCACTGACCCATTGCGCCAATATCTGCAGAGGGGAGGATCGTATTTAAGAGGTATACCCATGGATGAACTGGAGAACAACCTGGCAGCATTTGATTTAAATGGCCAGTACCACTGTAGAGTGACCCAAATCTGGGGTTAAGGTATTTCCTAGTCCTTTTAACTGAGAATGTTTAAATAGAAGTAGCAAGGAATGAACCTCAGACCTTTACACATGCAAAGCATATGTTCTGCCACAAACATGGACCTTCCCCATATACTGCTCTGAGTTCCTTGGAGGAACAGAAGTATAACAAACAGCAAAATTCCACCTTATTACATGTAGTGCAACTGTGAGCAAATGGATGTGGATACTTTCCTATCAGAATGCAGAAAGGACTAAGAAGTCGTCTCTACTTATACACAGATAGCAGCTGTTGTACGACTACCAGCCATGGCACATTCATATGCCTCTTGTTTCACAACAGCTGTGCATAGAATGCACCCATGTATCAAGGTGTCTGTAGCACTGTATGGTGCAATCATGTGCTGCACTGCCACATCTTATTGAGATGGAGGCTGCATGAGTTGCATTCCTAGATCTGTAAGAGTACATCCATGATTGGCCTTTTCAGGGAACCATTGTTGTTACACAGTAGGGCCCATAACTAGTGAAAGGATTTTCTGTTGCTAATCTGCCCATAACTGATAAAATTTTTACTTATATGCTCAAATGTAGATTTTTAAAAAAGCTATTTACCCAACTAAATTGCCTTCCTCTTCTTTATTAAGCAAATTTACTCAGAAACCTTCAGATACATTCTGCAGCATCAAACTCCTTGTAAAGAGATTTCTTTCAAGGGTAAGAAAGAACACATTCCCTTGAGGTGTATGATATAAATATCTGTGGTACAACAGACACACATACAAAAGAAATGTCCTCTATGATTATTGTGTTTAAATGTGTGTGCCAAAGAATTCCATACCTAAATTTCTAATACAAAGAAGTTCAGAGTACTAGCGTGAAGAATTCCTAAAGAAAGAAAATTAAAACATTCCTTTACAATACTTTAGTAGATTCCCTAACCTGTTGCGTATTCTAATATATTTTTTAATCATTTCAAAACCATGCATTTATAAGATAATGCCATTTATTTCATGATTTTGACATGTGGAACTACATCTTCCCAGCCATCTTTGCATCACATTAACCACTTTTTGTTTACATATGAACAATAAAGATTTTTGCAGGGGATGCTATATATTTGTGTTCTTAATATGTGATATATACACAAACACTTAAAATAGTTTGAAGACTACTTGGAAATTTATAAGAAGCTTTATGCCATATCTGTCTTGCACAAGTTAATTTCCATGTTGATGCAAATAAATCTGAATATTCCTAAAATATTTTGCAGGAGTTGAAAGAAATTGGCCAATCCTAATCTGTAGTTCATCTATCAATGCTTTTTTAACCTTTTAAATCAGGGAAAATGAATTAGGGCTTTTAAGGCTGTACCAGCAATTATGAAAAATACTATCGCATAATGAATATATAACACAATAAAATTATATAGACATATATGAACCCACTACACACACACACACACAGTTTTCAGCCACTGAGAAATAATCCTGGAGAAGGGATAAAAATTATTAAAGAATGGCATAATTCTTCACATACCTCAAGAGGATTTTTTTTAAGCAAGGGGGAAAAATCCAAACCCTGGCTCTAGTCTCACAAAACAACAAAGGACTGTGACGACATGTCTGTTATGGTGTACACTGTACTTCACGTATATGGATTTTAATATTTTATCTATCTATATTTTTACACACACACGCACAGTATGGTATAAGGTTGTAGGCTGCATTTCGTTAGAAGAAAAGAGGAAATGATACAATAGATCAAATCTTGCCCCACCTTTCCCCCCACCTTTTCTTGGTGAAACGAACATAAATTGTTTAGGAGCACCACAGCGCCACCAACACAGATCAATACAAAACAAAAAAGATTTCCCACCGTGTGCAAAAAAAAAAAAAAAAAAAATCGCCTAGAAAAATGCCAAAAATTACAAAATGTCTCCCAAATGCACCTTCTCAAAAGAAGAACACGACACCTAGATGAGGTATACTCCTTAGGAACCTTTATATAAAGAATGCTTTGAGATGAGTGACCAAAAAGCAGCTTACTGGTGAATAAAAAAGGCCAATGTTTAGTAACAGGCATAACTTAATAAAAACCCAGTTATGTCAATACCCTCCTTCAATACACGAAGGGCAGTTTCTCTAGTACTTTACACCAAGCCAAACCACCCCCACCCCCTAATTAGTCACAACCACTAATATCTTAAAGGGTATTCCTATTACAAACAATACATTTTCTTTCTTTCTTTTTTCTCTCTCTCTTCTCTCTCTCTCTTTGTATTATATTTTGTTCCGCACGTATTTATTATTAACGTTGGAGACTCCAACTCCACCTTGAAAATATCCGAGTTCTTGATGGCGCCATAAAAAAAAAAAAAAATCAAAGTACAAATATATAGTTAGAATACAGTCACTCCTAGGGAGAAAAGCAAGATAGGGTTATAATACTCAGAAATAATGAGACGACGTTTAGTGTGCTTAATTAGGAGAGCTCAGACCTCGGGGTGGGGGTGGCGCGGGGGGGGGGGAGGGAAACAAGCCTACATTGGATTCATCAACATTAAGGAACATGATTATTATTCTTCTTTTTGCGCTAGCCGATTGCCGCGAAAAAGAAAATATAAACATACATATTTGAAAGACTGGGGAAAACTTACCTCGAAAGGCAAGCAGACAGCTGCCTCCTCACAACGACGGGAAGAAAATAGGTTGTGTATAGTTTCTCGCTTGCAGATAGCCGCCTCCACGCAGCCAAAGGATCCCCGAACATCTTGAAAAACCTTTGCAAACGACCACGGAGACCCTCTCCCAGGATCGGCGGCGGATCCCGGAGGTTTTTTGCTCGGGATCTGTGGGGGGCGTTTGGGTAAACCGGAGAAATATCCAAAGAAGATTAAAAGCAAGAGGCGGCAGGAGCCAGAAGACTCTGGGGTTAACAACTTTGTAATGGCAAACAGGCGTGTTCTGATTGGTTGGGAGGGCAGTGTCCCTCCACAGTCTGCACTATCCCCCGCTCTCCCCCTTCTGCAGCCTGGAAAAAATGCAGAAATGCAGTGTGCCATTTTATACAGGCTTTAAAAAACACACCCCAAACCCAGCCACCGAAAGCATAGGCATCACATTTTTTTGTGTGACACTGCAAAACAAGAGCTCCCCCAAAAGCTTTACCAAAAAAAATTTAAAGGTCTCCTTCAGTACATATAAACGTGTCCTTGGGGTGCAGAGAAAAGAGGGAAAGAAAAGAGACGCACAAAAATAATCCACACAGGGGGGCTGGGCCATTTCCCCCTCCCACCTCAATTATTTCTTCTAAAATCACGTCCAACTGTGAAACAAGGCAATTGCCCAGCCGCCCCCACCCCGGTCAAGGAACCTAGAACTATTTTTATTATTATTATTTTAATGTAAAGAAATGAGTTTGCCTGAATGGTATCACCTAAAAAAGCCAGTCACGCCTGGAACAAAAATCCATGACTCCTTGATACAGAATTTGAGAGGCTGCTGCAACAGTAGGAAAGGTTTCCTTCCCCCCTCACAAATCTGCTTACCTACCGTCATAGGCAGAGAGCCAAGAATATTAATTTCAATAGATACATCCATTGTGGTAGGCATAGTTATTCTACAAAGAATGTTTAAAATCCCCTCCTTATACTGACTGACAGAATTCTACCATGCTGCCCACAAACAAAATGGCTGTGGCACTGAGTTTTTTTGGATCCTCCCACTGTGCTTCTCCCCCCGCGGCCTCCGGGAAGTGGTAGAAATCCAAAATAAATCAGTACTCCAAGTACAATGCCCAATCCAAACTCCCCATGACATCAGGAAAGGCGAGGGGCTCTGAGAAGACGCGGTCCTATCTTTAAGGGATTTTTAAAATTTGTTTTAAAATGTGCATCAATCATTGGAAATTTACATGGCAGTGTAATCCGAACTTCCTGCTTTACATATGTATGAGGTCTTTCACCTATCTTGGCAGGCTTTCAAATTAAGTGGGCTGGGAAATTTGATGCTGTGTATCTTCAGTTGCGAGCTGAGTCAGGTACTCAGTCGCTGTGTGCTGGTAAAAATGAAGGCGAACGCCTGGCCTAACAAAGAAAAAAAGAGAGAGAAAAATCAAAATCTGGCAACCCCAACCCTCCATTTCCCCTTTCACTCTTTTGGAGGGTATATTTAATTAAACAAGGCAAGTTATTATGAATGTGGACTCTCTACAAAAGTACAAACATGGAACTTTGTGTCTTAAGTGTTTTGTATAATTATTTGTGTGTATGCTATATGTATTTTTTACTGCAACTAATCTTATTTCTTTGTGATCAACCATAAATGTTAGTTCTGTTCAGTTCTTTACACTAAAGGGAAATATTGTTTATTCAAATTTAATTTACTGGCAATTTATTTCAAACCTTGAAACATTAGATATGACACCTTTCAAGTGCCAATTCTCCAGAACCTGCAATGCTCCCAACTGAGTTCACATGGGTGTTGTTTACTTCAGTGAAAGGTATTTTCTTAGAAAGCCTCAAACCACTTATAAAATAGTCCCCACTGAAGACTACTCTTGATCACAAGAATTGTGACTTTCTAATGCAAGCTATAAACTACTTAAGCCAGAATGTTTGCACTTAAATTAGCTTAACTCCACTGGTGGCAGTAATAAACTTCAATAGGACCAAGCTGGTTTAATAGATTTCAATGGAATATACTTACAAACAAGCATTTTATTCAAATTTCAGTTTTGCAACCTAATCTCAAAAGGCTGTTTTAGCTGAAACAGTAATACCCACATTACCCCCCACATTTATACTACTGTAGCATAAACTACATTGTATCCTCTGAGCCCCCACTCTGCTCGTGACATTTCAATACACAGAAAGCCTTTTAATTTCCCTTTGTTTGGAAAATTGCTGGTATTGAACAAAAGATACAGAACCTTTTGATTCTGTGATGGGTCATAAGTGGAACCAAATATTTATTGCAAACTAATCAAAAATAATAATGTTTTAATACTGTTATGAACCACCATGGGATTAGTAACATGAAAGGGCAGGATATAATTTAATAAATATGCAAACTTATTTCACAGCAGTACGGGTGGTGGCTGTGCCAGCTCTCTGGCACTGGTGCTTTCATATGTTAAATCCCATTAGATACTGCTTTAGTATTTCAGCAAAGTACTAGGTCATATGTAACAAAATCAAAAGCTTGAATATACATTTTTGGATTGATTTATGCATGCAGTGCCAGCCCAAGACATTTTGGCACATGAGGTGGACCCCAAAATTGCGCGCGCACACACACACATACCCTGCCAGGGAAGAAGGGGTGAGAGAAGATCTACATCATGAACAACCAGAGAAGGAAGATCAACATAGGGATCTGTTGCCATGGGGAATCCTGCCACCTGAGGCACTCACCTCACCTTGCCTTATGGGTGAGCCGGCCCTGAATAAAGATCTACATCAAGATCTGCTGCCCCTGTGGATCCTGCTGCCCGAAGCAGTCACATCACCTTACCTCATGGGTGGGCTGGTTCTGAATAAAGATTTACTTTGGGATCTGCTACCCAGTGGCAGAGAAACCCTCTCCAGCACCCGGGGCAGGACACCAAGGGGCAGGGCGAACTGCCCAGTGATGCACACGCGACGTCCGTATGGACTGCGCATGTGCGGCGACCGTACAGGATGCTGCACCTGCGCAGTCTGTACGGGGTGCCGCTCGCATGCAGCGGCCATACGGGCTGCCACTCGCACGGCGACCATATGGTTGTCGTGCGAGAGGCAGCCCGTACGGATGCCCGTATGGACTGCGCACGCCCTTGGCCGCTCTACAGCTGGGGGGAGGCAGGGGCCAGCTTGTCACCCCCCGGAGTGGAACCCAGGGTGCTCCGCTCCCTCTGCCCCCCACTTCGTACGTCCCTGCTGCTACCCCTGTGGATTCTATTGCCTGAGGCAGTCACCTCACCATACCTCATGGGTGGGCTGGCTCTGCATTCATATTTATATATTAACAAATGTCTCTAAGCAACGTACAAGAAATAAAATATTTTTAAAAACTTTCTGAAGGAAGGCTGTGATCTGACTGAGCAGGGCCTTATACTGTATAAACAAATTATAATGTACAGATTGTGTAGTCCTGCCCCAAAGCATTCAACATGCATGACTTCACCAACCAAAATTGTAATACCTTTGAATATAATTCTTATATGTAATATAAGAATGGTTACCCAAAAGCATTCAAAATTATTCAGTCGACCTTACCGAATAAATCTCAGAAAGCAATGGGAAGGGGTTCTGTGTAATCTGTGCTACTTTTTCTTCTTCACATTGGATTTTCCTATAAAATTTTAATAGCCATTGGTACCTGAAGGCAGACCTGGTCCAAGACATTTTGGCACCTGAGGTAAACCACAAAATGGTACCCTCCTTCCACCAGGGAAGAAGAGGGGAATGAAGATCTCCACTGAGAACAAGGGGAGAGAGAGAAAGATCTACATTGGGAAAGGGAGGGAAGGAGGAGAACAACAGTGCTTCCTGTTTGCCAAGAGGCTGCTATAGAGGTGGCATGGCGGGTCATGCCAAGGTGGCGAAAGATCCAGCCTCCAAGGAGTGCACTGCAGCCATCGCTGCCACCCACTGCAGCAGCAGTGGGTGATGCATTCCTTGGAGGCCAGATCTGCTGTTTCCCTTTTTTTAAAGGGAAATTCCCTTATTCCGAATAGGATTCCTCACAAGAAAAGGGAAAAGTTGACAGCTATGCTTATCCTGCCAACTGGGGTTTTTCACCTCAGCTTGCCTGGATGGATTGGCCGGCTGTTTGACCCAGAAGGTGAGCTGTTTATTTATTAAACCCTATACCTAAAGGTAAAGGGACCGCTGACCATTAGGTCCAGTCGCGGATGACTCTGGGGTTTCGGCGCTCAACTCGCTTTACTGGCCGAGGGAGCTGGCGTACAGCTTCCGGGTCATGTGGCCAGCATGACTAAAGCCTCTTCCGGAGAACCAGAGCAGCGCACGGAAACGCCATTTACCTTCCCACTGAAGCATTACCTATTTATCTACTTGCACTTTGACGTGCTTTTGAACTGCTAGGTTGGCAGGAGCAGGGACCAAGCAAAGGGAGCTCACCCCATCGCGGGGATTTGAACCGCTGACCTTCTGATTGGCAAGCCTTAGGCTCTGTGGTTTAGACCACAGCGCCACCCACATCCCAAACCCTATACCTAGGGTTGCCATATTTCAAAAAATAAAAAGCAGGACACCCCCAAAGTTGCTGCACTTCTTTCTATTTTTTTTACAAAAATTCCCCAAAAACAACAATTTTTCAATTGACTTGCCTAAGATCCAGGACAAAGTGCCATCTTTCGGAAATTCCCCCCAGATGTCAATTCCGCCTTTGAAATCCCAGTAATGTCCTGGAAAATCCAGACATATGGCAGCCCTACCTATACCTGCAGGTCTCAGGGCGGTTCACAGAATAAGCTGGTCTCGAAGCTCTATTTGCAGCATATTGATGGTGAAGATGACCCCTGCCTAACTGGCAGCAGCTGTAGTGCTGAGCTCATGTGTGCTTCACATGCTTTGCGGTATCCACAGGTCCCAGGCATGGCTAGAGGAGGAGATAATGGTTAATACCAGCCACCTGTGTTCCCATGTGACATAGCCTGCCTGAGCCTATAGAGATTGTGTGTATCTTTACTTAGGTGTGGACAAGCCATCTTTTCGCTGAGTCCATCCCACAGAGTGCTGTGAGCAGGGGCAAGGAGGGAGCCGTAGGACATTTGCTGTAAGTTTGTACCCTTCTTTAATAAATCATTAGACCTGATCAATCTGGTGGTTTAGGCATCTTTCTTTGGAATTCCTGCGTATCCGAAATCCTGTAGGCCCTCCCTTGACTCTGAAGGGCATTTCACCAGCCCTGCCTGAAAAATATGTGGTGATTATCTACTTGGACCTGATATCAATAATGGCACATAGGGCTCTACTTGCATTATTGGTTTGTTAATATGTAAGGACTTCATGCTTTCTTAAGGGAGGCGACCCAGTCTTTTGTAATTATTTCACCTCATGAATACCCAGAAAGTTCATGGACTGTGTCAGACACAAATAACCCAGTAATTATGTAGCTGATACCATCTTGGAATCCTTAAGATGCCATCACAAAGAACAATGATAAGCTTACAAGCCCTGTTTAGCACACACAAAAAGCCTTGATAAACAGGGTAGTAAGTGATTTAAAAGTATCTGACTGTTTTGTGCTATGGCAGTATGGCTTGTAAAATGTGCTCACAAGTTATTAGTGTTTGTTTGGGTTGGTTTATTCTAAGTAATTTATGTTTAATAAACCAGCCTGGCTGCTCCCACCTGTCAGTGTTTTAAACCAATGAGTGAACTCAGAGCTGTGACTGATAAGGGTGAAGGCAAAAGAGAAGCAGCCCAGGCACATAATACCCATCTCCTGAAGGGACCAGCAAGGGAACTGTCGGGGTAGCCTAGGAGCCAACTCCTAGGGGCACACAAATGGTGTTAATGCACCACTCCTTGTGATTGATTATGCGGAACAATTCCTGCCCCCCCCTATATTTTGTTCAAGTTGGCACCCCTGCAGGATAGCCGTGCCTCCACCTTCCCTGGGACTACTTAGGAATCTGTGTGCCCTACACAAAGGCAGAAGCTAGGAAATCCTTGTGCAGGGAGCTGGTTTTGACCAGCTTCTAAAGTTGCCCTGATAATATTTTGTACTGTACTGTTTGGGGAAGGGATGTGGCTTAGAAGTAGAGCATCTGCTTTGCATGGAGATCTTGGGTAGGACTGAGTTTCCTGTCTGAAACCCTAGCTAGACCAATGATCCTACTTCATGTAAGCAGCTTCTTATGTTCCTATTTTTGTGTTAATAATTCAAACTTTAAATTGCCCCGGGTGTCTTGACAGAAACATGGTATATATTGTTTAGAGTGGTTTTTTAAAAAAAATGTAAATGTTTTATAAAGGTGTAAGTAAATAAATAAACAGTTGTTCCATACCACTGACAATTTTGGTTGTATCTTTTTCCAGCTCTACAAAATCATTTTTTGAGGTGTGATGAGCTGAAGTACACATCATTCCAACTGCAATCAAGTTAGGATTTCATGGCCCTCCCCCACCTCGGTATGTTTCACTTTACACTTACACTAAACTGCTTTTGGCATTTTAATGTCTATTCACTCAGAACTATCATTTCAGAACTCATTGCAATTTCATGTTCTTTTTCTTATCTTTTGTTAGTGTATTTTTATATTGGCATTGTGCCCTTTCAGTTTCATGCCTATGAGTTACTCAAGGGTTTCTTCTCACTTCTGAGCTCCTATGGAGCATCTCTTACCTACATAGATAAATCCGTTGCTCCCCATTATTCAGTTCCTCATTCAAATAACTTATCAAAGTGTCCCCCATGCAATGCCTCAAATCTAGCTAACCCCAGAGGATCTATCACACACCCTGCCATTAAAGTTTTCACCCTTTGCCCTTAGTGCCTTTGATAGCTTCCTGATATGCACCAATTCCATATGTGAAGCTCTGCATTTTGTACCTTGAAATGCTACTCCAGTTGAAGGGAGCTGTGGCATTCTACCTCCAATGTGAGCACATCTCAATGTGAGCTGTGTCTGTGGTCAGCAGGGTTGCCACTGTTTTTTCCTGACAGAGATGCTGTTCTTTTAATAGCAACATAGTGGAAAATCTGAAGTGTGGGCGCTCTTGATGACATGGCTCTTTGAAACAATGCAAGAAAAATAAACTTTTGGCCAGTGCAGGGATTATATATTCAATACCTAGTCAGATTTTCCCTCACACACACGCTCTCCACTTAACATTCAACCTGATGAGAAGTTCTGGCTTGCTCACCATTTTGTGACCTTTCGACTGGACATTATAAAGAGATTTTTGTTTTTGTTTTTCATAATAGAAGTTAGGTTAACATGTTAGCTATGCATGTTACCTTTTCCTAGGCTTGGCTTATTTGACGGCTTTTGAGAACAAAATTATTTGGAACACAGAGAACTGGCAACTAGTGCCTCTAAATACATAATTATCTTTGCTGTGAAAGAAGCAGTAGCACTTTGACCCTGCTCCACTACATCAGTGGCCTTTAACAGCTGCATGAAACGGGGAATTCATCAGAGGATGTTCTTTCCATCATTGTATCTTCATGTACTTGTTGAACTCCAGCTGTTAAAGGCAGAGAACATTGTGTCAAGAAAAAAGATTGCAACCCAAGCAGTTGCCCAGAGACTGCACATGTATGTATTTGTAAAATGGTATCATTTTATGTTTCTAATATAAACACTAGGGTACATGTTTGAAAGGTTTGGTTTTGGGTGGCAGCAGCTCCTAACATAGACCTATATTTTAAATAATTAGATAGGCACAATGTTGATAATTTTATTTGGTATGTATTTTATTTGGGTGATTCTACTGTGGTGCTGATTTTGTGCTGTTATTCAACACCATATAACCCATGGGATGGGCAAGCTAAAGCTGGAGTTTTAGGCTCATTTTGTTGAAAGCCTTCTTAAACTCAGCAATGATTAACTTCTGAATAAGACACAATCCAAACTGAAGGTAAATTGATGAGAACTTCCGGTTATTATTTGTGTGATCCTTGTCTCCCTTTCTTAGACTTGGGGGGAAGGGAAGAAGTCAGACTTGACTAGTGGGTTTTATCTATTGCTAAGAATATTTTAGAAGCCCTTTGAGAGCCTGTTGGGGCTATGAAGTGGGATACAAATATTCTAAATATGGTAAAGAAAAGAAGTCTCACTGGCTGCAGTGGGAGATGGAGCAAATAGCAAACAGATAAACATTTCAGGCAGCCCTGCTGGTCCGTTGGGGGAGGGGGAATCATCCAAAGGTTTTATTGGGGCCAAATAAAAAGCTCCCAAAGAAATGAGCAAATGAGCAAGCCTTCCAGTTCAACAACATTCTTCATCAGGTTAGATGCTAAGCAAAGGGATGAAAAATGTGCAGAGAAGAAAAAGGATGTTCCTGGGAGGTTGTATAGGAACATCCTTCTCTTCCACTCTTCGATGAAGAGTTGAACTGGGAAGCTTGCTAATTTCCTTGGCGACTTTTTTTTAGTCAGTCTCCTAATGAACATGCTACTCCCCTACTGCGTTTTCTTTTGAATCTTGTGTCTGGGGAGGGTTGCTTAAGAGGAAGAGAACTGTCATCATCAGGGCCAGATTTAGGTTTGATGGTACAGTACTGAAGGTAATGGGGCCCTTTATATGTCCTTTGTCTACAACAAATTGCCTCTGTTTTTGTTTGTTGAATACAGCAATTTATACATAACATAACAAAACACAACACAACACAAAACACTGTTGCTGTTCCCTTTAATTTTTTTTTGGGGGGGACTCATCATTAGCCGGTGTCTAGGGCGGGTGTGTGACGGGGGGAGCGAGGCGAGCGAGCGAGAGAACCTCTCACAGCGCGCGCGCCACCAACCGCCCTGTCTCGCGCCCTCCTGAGTAGAACTCGCGGCCCGTTTGAAAAAGAAATGGCAGTTGACGCCGCCGGAGGGGAGGGGGGAGCTCGCGCGCGCGCGCCCCCTCCCTGCGACGGCGACGACTCATTCCTTGGAAGAGCAGCAGCAAGAAGCCAGGAACGTGGGCAGGAGGGAGGAAAAGAGCGGATGGGGGAGATGATGAGGTGCCTGGGTAGCTGAACGTCTTTAGGAAACCAGTGATTGAGGACGGGCAGCTCGGCCTTCGCCTAGGTGGGTCTCTGAAAGGGAGGCGAAGAACAGTAACAACCACAAGAGCTCGGTTTCCATATATTGGGGCGTCTCCAGAGAGTAGCTTTGCCTCACGCCTTTTTCTGGGGGTGGGAAGTGGGGCGTGACCCAAACAACAACAACCATCCACAGCTAGAGTCTCCCCCCTCCCCGGGAAGCTCCTTAAACAACAACAACAACAACAACAACAATAATAATTAATTATTTTTATTTATACCCCGCCCTCCCCAGCCAAGACCGGGCTCAGGGCGGCTAACAACCAATAACAAAAACAAGTTGATTAAAATACAATTTAAAAGATTAAGATACAACATTAAAACATTAGGGTGCAATCTCTTATGGACAACCTTATTATCTCACATTAAGGGTATTGCACTTTTATATCACCAAGAAGCTCAGGGTGGGATGCGAGTTCCCTGTTTTTCCTCGCCATCATCTCCTCACAGCAACCCTGTGAGATAGGTTAGGCGGAAGGAGGTTGTGCCTTTCTTTGCCCAACTTTTAGTGGACATCTGGACATCTGGTTCCAAGTTCCAGCATTTCCCTGCCTGCCAGCCAGTTAATTAATTAATGTAAGCTATTTGTATCCTCCTTTTCAATTTAAACTAAACTAAAAGCTGCTAATGATGTAGCAGTATATAGATGGATAGGTAAATTATTTTTAAAAATCATTGTCATTTGTGTTAGGGGAGCCTCTTTTAGTGATGTAAGGAGCCAAGGTAAGAACTCAGATCTAAGATTTATTTGTTTCTAGAAATCGGTGCGTAGTAAAAAAACCCCCACAGCTTTCATAGTATCAAAGTAATATAACATCAGTGGAAGTGAACTCAGACACAAATGAAACAATATACAACACAAACTGAATAACCTCGGTAGGGACATTCTACCCTTTAAACATGTTTTTCTACTTTTAAACAAATATCTAAATAAAATATGAAAACGGAATCATTTTACACAAATATGAATAAAATTATGTAAAAGCTAAGGGTTGGGAATTCAACATGATATTATTATAATGGTTCAGTCAGTGTAAACATTCCTGCTTCCAGATGGAACAATCTTGTCCTATGTGCTGCTCTGGGGTCCCTCGGTTTTCTATTATTTATTATACCTTATATATCTCACCTTTTTCTGAATCTTCTTAAACAGTTTTTAACTGGGCTTTGAAAAAGGCCACTCTGTCTTTCAATTTCTGCAAATCTTTTAACATAACAAGGTACAGAAGGAACCTAGAATTTATACAGGACATTTTTATACAGTGGTGCTGTTTTATAAATTAATATGCTTACCCCATTCCAAAAGCTATTCAGCTAGGTCTTGGGACCTAGCAACCCAGCAGAAGGTAGGATGGTGTAAGTCAGACCCGATTTTAAACATTTCTTTTCCCTTAGGTTCAGTCTGGCTCAGCTGGCAGTAGCCCCATTGCTGAACATAGTTTTGTTAACGGAGAAATCTGAGGGCTCCCTTGGACAAAAAAACAAAGACACCAGCCAGGAATACCAGAGCAAAACAGCAGCCAGTAGGCTTGGTCTTTATTGAAGTGTGTCGTGACAGGATTCCCACCTGCCACAAGGTGGAACAAGATAGAAGCCCCAAACAAAAGAGCCCCCAAACTTTTATTAGCTGCTAATCTCCATGTTACACCCCCCCAAACTACATCACTCGTACATCACAGTTACATCATGAAAGGGGAAGGCAGTAATCTGAGCATCCTGGACCCTGCCCCATGGTTCACCTTGCCTTCCACCAAACACCCATCAAGTGTAACAAAAAAGATATTTACATTTCCCTGTTTCCCAGCCAAGTTAATCACACCCTTTTGTCTTTATTTCTGGAATGGCTACCTGTCTGGCACTCAGGTACCAGGATGCCAGGAATTATCACTCAGGCAGAGGGGCTTCTGAGTAGCTGAGCTCACATGTCTATATGAATTTCTGAAGTTTTCTAGTGAGCCAGTACATAGATACATTTATCAGTGAATTGTTACATTTGGTATCGTCCAGCAAAGGTCCCTTGAATAGATAGGAAGAAACTGTCATGGGGTATTTTGTGGGGACAAATCACAAATGTCACTAAAGCGATTGTGCTGGTTTTGGTAGTGGGCTGCATGTGCATGATATCTGCTGGAGGGGCAACCCCCCCAACCTATACATAAATTCCTGCAACAGTTTGGAATAGAGGTAAATTACCCTGGCTTAAGTTAGGCCAGTTTCCTGTAGTTTTGGATTGCTTTACAGAGATAGGATGAAGGTAGGGATGTGTGTATTTTCTTGAGTGGGTTGAAAATAAATGAGTGCATTCAGTAGAGAATGGTACAAGGAGAAAGGGCTAATAATACTTTTCTCCTGTGTTATTTTTGTATACGTTATACAGGGTGAGTCTTTTAAAAGAGGCCCCGTGGAACATGTGTGCTCTGTATCCATGGGGCCGCTTTTAAAGGACTCACCCTGTATAATATTTTAGTCTAGGGTAGGGGTAGACAACCTAAGGCTCGTGGGCTGGATGCGGCCCAATTGCCTTCTCAATCCGGCCCGCAGACAGTCCAGGAATCAGCTTGTTTTTACATGAGTAGAATGTGTGCTTTTATTTAAAATGCATCTCTGGGTTATTTGTGGGGCATACGAATTCATTCACCCCCCCCAAATATAGTCCAGCCCACCACATGGTCTGAGGGACGGTGGACCTCCCCATAGCTGAAAAAGGTTGCTGACCCTGGCCTAGGGGGCCAAATCATATCACTGGTCCTGTCACAAGCCCCTTCACTAATTAGAACCTTCCAGCCTGCTTAAATGACTTCATCATCTTGTCCTTTCTACATGTCACTAACCCTCAACTTGTTCACCAAACCCACATTCCTGACTGAGTTAGGTCAGGAGCATACCTTTCATTCTTCACTCTTATTACTTTGAGGCTGGGTGCATCCAGGAATGTTATATATCCAGGAATGTTATACTGCAGGAATGTTATACTGTCACTGGCAACAGGAACATTCCACTTTTGACATTGTTGTTCATCTCCCCCCCGGGGGGGCAGGGAAGACAAGCATTAACACCTCCCAGAGTGCCCCAGCTCTAACTGAGTTGTGGTGGTGGTGGAAGTGGAGGGGTGGGCGCAGTGGCATGGGAGGCAGGGAGTAGCGTATTCTCAGGTGGCAAAATGGTATGGGCTGCCCTTGGTACTTAGTACCCTTAAGAAAATGGTGGTGTGTGCACTCCTGAAAGAACTCTCCCTACATGCAGAGATTGTGAACTACTGTCCAGTTGCTAGTGTTCCCTTTTTGGGAAAGATGCATAAGAGGGTGGTGGTTCAGCTGAAGGTGCTCTTTAGATCCATGTCAATCTGGGTTTAGGACTGGTTTTGGAACTGAATCAGCCTTGATCGCCCTGATGGATCACCTTTATCAGAAGATGGATGCAAAGTGTGACTCTGTTGCTTTAACTCAGCCTCTCATTGGCTTTTGAGGCCATCAGCCATCATAATTTGCTGGACCAGCTCTGTGGATTTGGAAGGCAGTGTTTTGCAGTGGTTCCACTCCTATCTGTGGAGCTGGTCTTGGAGGGTGGCATCAGGTGACTATTCCCTGGCAATTGTGTTGTGGGGTGTGACAGGATGCAGGGGGTGGTCCCTGTCTGCTTGAAGGAGGCAGTGGTGAATCCACTCCTCAAGAAACCCTCCTTAGATTCAGAAAATCTAACTAATTACTGGCCCGTTGCTAATCTCCCCTTCTTGGGCAAGGTTCATGAGCATGGGTTGTGGACCAGATGCAGGCACTCAGTTGGGGTTTAGGTCCAGTTTGGGCACAGAAACTGCTTTGGTTGCCCTGTATGATAACCTCCGTTGGGAGAGGGATGGGAAATGTGTCCCTGTTAATTCTCCTCACCTCTGCGGCTTTCGATACCATTGACCATGGTATTCTTCTGGAGTGACTGTCCAAGTTAGGTGGATGACACTGTTTTGCGGTGGTTCCAGTCCTACTTCGATGGACACGTCCTGAGGGTTATGGTTGGGGAGTGTTCTTCAGCCCTATGGAGCCTTCAATGTGGGGTTCCTCAGGGTTCAATTTTATCCCATATGCTGTTTAACATCTACATTAAATGGCTGAGTGAGGTTATCTGGGCAGGTGGGAGTATGTTGTCAGCAATATGCTGATGACGCACAGCTCTGCTTCTCCTTTACATTTGCAGGTGTGGCAGTGGATGTTCTGGACCACTGTCTTGCCTTGGTAGTAGACTGGATGAGAGCCAACAAACTGAAGCTCAATCCAGATAAAACTGAGAGACTGTTAGGGGGCAGTTCCCTAGACTGGTTGAATGGGAGGTTGTCTGCTCTTATGCTCCCTCTGAAGCAGTGGGTACACAGCTTGAGGGTACTTAGATCTATGGAGGAAGGGTGATATACTAAATGAATGAATGCAAAATAATAATAATAATATAATAATGTCCCACCATTCTTTGTTCTTTCAAACGAAGGAGCAACATATTACTTACCTGGGAAACCCAGCCAGATGAGTGGGGTATGTATGTATGTATGTATGTATGTATAAATAAATAAATAAGCAAGCAAGCAGCCTGAAAAATTGCTGCTTGCCATGCTACTTTAAATTGATTAACAGACAAATGCACAAATTTTCCTTCTCTAAAGTGCCCCCCATCACCCCATTTTCGATACCAGATTTTCTTCTTAAATTCTTTCTGCTTCTATTCCCTTATCAGTTTAGGAACATTAGATCACCTGAGAAGCCACTGAAACACTGAACAGAACTCTTCTGATGCAGGTACATTGAGTCAAACAGAATATCGGGGAACATACAAACATATATAATTTGAGCAGAAAGGTCACTGAACAGAATTTGAGCAGTAAGGTCACTGAACAGAATTTGAGCAGTAGCCTCCTTTTGTCCATTATGAAAAAAGATAACTAGGACAAGATTTACTCTTGTGCAGCCTTCACCTCCAGCTTGAACAGAATGGAAGAATCATATAGAGTTGGAGGTAACCTCAAGGGTCATCTAGTTCAATCCCTCCAATATAGGTATCAAAGTTATGTTATCTCCAAGCATTTTATGGCCTTTTAAACATGTTTGTGGGAGAGGGGTTATTTGTTTGTTTTTTGTTTTATTATGTAGTTTGTGTTCTCATTTTGTATTTTTATGTTGTGAACTGCCCTATATAAAAATTTAATCAATCAATCAATCAAATGACTGGGGCTCCTCTGCTGCCAGCAAGGTAGGGACCTAGCCTGAGAATTTTTCTAAGGCATTCCCTGGAGACAGACCTGCTGAGTTCTCTCCCTGGATACTAGAGTCTTCTGGGTAGTTGCTGTAGGGATAGGGGTCTCTGTTTCCCTTAGTCCCGGCTCTGGGAGGTTTGGACCATCAGCAGAGGATGAGTTATCTGGGTTTGGGTCAGGGGTTAGTATGACAGTTCCTTCAATTTAGTACCAGTTTAATACGGACTTGCCATCTTTGTTCATCTGGTTTTTTAATTGAATTCAGGTGATGATTTTACCAACCTAGTTCTGATGTTTTCTGAGTTGTCATTCCATTACCCCACCACATTAGACTTGAGTGTGTGCGTGTGTGTGTGTTATAAAACACAACTGCAATTTCAGTGTCAGATATGGATGGCTAGCCCACCATTTTCAGGGCTATTGTACCATTAATTTGAAGTTTCCTTTTTATAGCTTCTACTCCCGTAATTAGTTCCTATTTGTTCACTTATGGGACCATGGCATTCATTACATGGCCTTTAATAAATCCTATTCCTGAAGGGTCTTAAAATGGCCTTTAATTTGTCCTGTTGATATGGGATTAAAATTTCCTCTAAATAGGTGGAACATTGTTGTTTTTTTAAAATTATTTTATGAGTGCAATTGTAATGCCTTTTTAAAAAACAGCTTTTGGTCTGACTGCAAAGAGGAAACCAGTAATTTAGCTAGCTCCTACTTTCCAGGACACAGAAACTGACTTCTTAAAAGCCCATTAAATAATGCCATGGATTTTTGAATGGACAGAAGCAAACCTATTACAGGGCAGAAGCTGAAAATAAGTTTATGTGTGCAATAGTTCTGAAAAGTCCTTATAGTGCTCACATGAAAAATGAAATATTATTTTTTTCCAAAAATGTGTTATTTTGCTATTTTATTTTTTAATGATATGAACCAATATTGTTTTATTTCTTCCTAAAAAAATAACAGAAGAGGAACAATGAAGCCAGCAAAAGTGAGAATTAAGGATCAACCGCTATATTCCTCATTTAATGAAAAGAGGAAAAGTAAACAGGGCTATGAACCTGGGCATATGCTTTTATTGCCTTCAGCTCCAACAGAATCTGTTGCACAGTACTCTTTAGCCCTTCCATCAACAAATAAAGATAGAGTGCTAGATGAAATGGATGTGCTTAAGAATATCACTGTTCATCTAAATGAGGTAGGACAATCACTGTCAGTTGTTGCTAGAGCTACTGTTGTCATTTGAATTAATTTTTATTAATTTTCATTAATAACAATCTAATGGAGGCCACATTAATACAATACCAAATCATGCCAAATCACAATACAATAAAAAAGTCAATTAATCAGTTCCGAATTCAATATTTTTGGATGACTTCCCGTGTTCCGGTTCTGGAGTTGATGTTAATCCTTGGTCCTGCTCTAATTCTATTAATTACAGTAGTCCAAATTCCACAATGCCAATCTTAAACCTTTGTTTTAGCAGTCACTAGTGTGATGACTTTCATTTGTATTTAATAAATCCATATCCATTAACTTGCAGAGGGATTTTATATCCTGTAGTTTCTGTGTGAATTTTCATGTTGTAATCAATCAATTTTCCTCAACATTGCCCCTCCTTCGAAAACTCATTTCTAAGTACGCCATAACTCCATTTTCCCTCTCCAAAACTTGAAAGCACTCCAGCTTCACTTATGTAGCGTTCCAGTTACGACAGCGAGAGTCCTCTCCAGATCAAAACCTTGGCACTGATTCATTTAGCGGATTATTTTTCTCCTTCATACAGAACATGTCTGTTTCTTAAGTCCAAATTCAGATCCATCTTAAAAGAAACAGAAGTACTTCCACTCGTGGTGACCGCATTGGGGAGTTTCCAATACGTACAGTGCTACACACTCTGCGTCCCTGCCCTCGCATTCCATCAGAGCGGGAGGCAGTTATTGGATGATCCACGAGTGAAAGCTCTCCTACCCCAACCCGGGGGGGGGGGACTTCCAAGGATAATTACTCCCAGATTATCCTTAATTAACTGCACGGCTGACATCCACTATTGTGGGATCCACTGTTTTCCATGGTGGGAGCGCCAGAACGAGCTACTATTGTCAAACATTGGAAAGATTTTGAAAATAGACAAACTCCTTGAGTTTCTGCTTTTATGCTATGCTAATATTAGAAATATATAGCATTGCAGGTAGTCTAAGGGAAAAAGATATAGATATAGATTTGGACATTACTAAATCATTATTGTCTGCCCTGTAGTTGAAGAAAATATGAAAGTCCCTATCTGTCCTTGCAAAGAAAAATATGCTTAAAATTGACCACAGATGATTCCAAACCCTACTTAACTGTATAGTCAAAGGCATATAATCACAGTGCCACAGAGGCTGTCTGGAACAACTATCTTACCTCTGTATGGCAGGGAAGTGCTGCATATCTGACAGATATATTATAAAACAGTAGCGGGCAACTTCCAGCCTACATGCCTGTTTAGGCTGGTGAGGCCCTTTAACCTATGAGTCTCTTTTGGCCAAACCACACCCACCTGCCCTATTTCTGAAGTCATCTATGACTTTTTGTGTGGAACAGGTAAAGTGGCTGGGGCAAATGGGTTTCCAGGCACTGCCATTCATCTGACTGGTAGTGCTTGAAAATCCCTGCTCTCGGTGCTTGTGCATCTCTTTGCAAGCAGATTACTGGTGCTTGCAGAGAGCTGTGTACTATCAGCTGATAACTGAATCACAGAATCACAGAATTGTAGAGTTGGAAGGTGCACCAAGGGTCATCTAGTCAAAACCTCTGCAATACAGGAATCTCAACTTGATCATACATGATAGATAGCCATCTAGAGTCCACCACTTATTGCGGGAATCTGTTCCACTGTCAAACAGCTCTTACTGTCAGAAAGTTCTTCCTGATGTTTAGTCAGAAGCTTCTTGTGACTTGAATCCATTGGTTTGGGTCCTAGCCTCTGGAGCAGGAGAAAACAAACTTGCTCCACCCTCCATTTGACAGTCCTTTAGCTATTTGAAGATGGCTATCAATTTTTCAAAATATTTCCCCATGATCCAACTGTTTGTCGGTGTGGACAGAGAACACTGAGGAGTGCTTTGAATCTTCCCCCCCCCATCAGCTGACAGGGCTTCAAAGCACTGCATTGGGCTCCCTGGCAGCAGTGGCAATCAGCTCCTTGGTGATTCTTGCAGGGAGCCCTGCACAGTGCTTTGAAGCCCAGACAATCAACTGACTGGGGCTTCAAAGCACTTTGTGGGGTGCCTGATGATACTGTGATGTCAGATGATTGGAAGGTGGGCAGTCCTGCCTATCTATCATACTTGGGCTAGGGGGATAGGAAGGTGATAATTGGTTCTGGCTGCTGGATCTAGTTCCCACCACTGTTGTAAAGTGTTAGCAAATGATGTTAGATCCCAAGAAGTATACAACTATTTTTCATGTTCCAAACTAACTTATGACACAATATTATTCAGCAACTATTCCACTTGCCTGAAACATAAACCTTTGTACAATATACCACTGTCTTTATCATCAGGTAAAACAATGACTTTTGGCACCAGGCATCTAGTATAATACAAGTAGGGGGTATGACTAGTGAGAGATGATAAAAATCATTTGGCACTTTCTGCAGATTGTACAGACAATGGAAGGTGTGTATGCAAATGAAGAAATGAAAGAAGAAGAGGTAGCGGCGGCGGCGGCAGGGGAACCTACAGTACCTGTATGTTTATTGAATAATTTCACATATTCTTTGAATAGGTTTCATGTATGCTAGTTGTGTATACTGTATTGATATACAGTCTTACAATAGTATATAAATATAATAGTTCTTACAAATAGTTGCTGAAGGATGTATAACTGTTGACTTCCAATTATGCCGTGGTACTTTTTTGTCCTAAACCAAGGATGGGAAATGACATGTCTGGCAGCAAGATGTGTTCCTCCAAGCCTCTCTTCAGCCTTCACTATTCTTCCCAGGTCATGCCCCCTTCCTCTGTGTCATCCTCTTTGGGGGTTGGCTGGAATTTGTCCTTGAACTTTGACAATTCATCTTGCTTATTAGGATGGTGGATAGAAACCTATGACTGCAGGTAGAAACTTCTGAGTTCTGTGTGAGTGTAGCTTACTGAACAAAAGCAAGTCAAATTTGTTTGCATCTAGCCCCACCCACTTTAGTCACTTGTTCTGCAAACCACTGGCCTGTGAACCCCACTCCCATTCTAAACGATGCAATGGTGTTAAATATTTGAACAGCACTTTGTTCAAAAAGTAGATGTTACACAATTTCCCACAATATTTCTCCCCAAATACTAGATTCAGGAAAGGGCAACCAAAATGTTCACGATGCTAGAACATTTCCCCTATCAGTAAAGATTACAAAATTTAGGGGCTTTCTAATTTAGGAAAAAAGACATGTAAAAGTTTATATGATATTGATCCCTCTCTAGTACTAGTATCTGATGCTAAAATCCAGTG